CGGGCGCGTTGCTGCCCGTGATCATCTACCTCGCCGCTCGGATGTGGCCCAAGTCCAACATCCGGTACCTCAGCGCTCCCCTGATCTTCGGTGGCGCCGGTCTGATCCCCCCGGCCACCCCGCTCAATTATCTCACCTGGGGTGTTGTGGGTATGATCTTCAACAAGTACATCCGTGACAAGTTCCGCGGCTGGTGGATGCACTACAACTACATCTTGTCCGCCGGGCTGGATGTGGGATTGGACTTGTGCACCATCCTGATCTTCTTGACAATCGACCTCACCGGCGCGAGCTTCCCCGATTGGTGGGGCACCCGCATTGCCAGTGGTACCATGGACACAATGGGTACGGCCATCCAGAAGACAGTCAACGGAACCTTTGGTCCGGCGACCTGGTAGTGCGAGCGAGCTGTGGGTACACTGTCCATAGGTCGATAAGTTTCGTTGATGAATCGTGGCGGAGGGGTGTTTTGGCAGAGCAACGGCCGAGAGAGAAAGTGCAAGCCCGCCGGTGGACCTGGCTGGGGCTGTGATTTATGATCCCGACGACTTATCTCGCTGTATTATGATTATGTGATAATTCCTAATTCTATCTGTTGGTGATCTTACATGGTTGAGCTGTCTCATCGTAGAGCACTTTTTCTTGATTGTCATGTTGTAATGTTTTGTGACCAAATAGTTCACTTAACCCCCAGCTGCGACTTCTCGCGCATCGCCCGGAAGCATTCAGCAACACGAAAAAAGGCCTCCTTCGGCACCCATCGAGGCATTCCCACCGGGTTCTCCTCCTGATGCCCCTTCTCCTCCTCCGGGAGGTACTTCACCAACGAGAAACACATCATATCGAAATCCCTCGCCCCGACGCCGGCCGGCATACAGGGAAACGCAAACACATAGACGAAGACGGCGTCCACCTGCGCCTCGGCCCTGGCCAGCAACCCCAACTGCGTCTCGAGGTAATCGGCCTGCTCGCGCTCGCTCCGCGTCGGGACGATATCCCCCTCAAAGACCCCACTCCCATCGGGATTCCGGCCCTTGAGCAAGGCGAAGCCGCCATCGCCGCGGACGGCCGCGCCCTCGTACGCACAGCATCCGACCTCCATCACCACGAGGGGCTTGTGTTTCTGCTTGTTGTTGCTGTTCGGGTCCGAGTCGACCACGCGGTGCCGCTCCAGCCCCGCGAGATATTCCGAGGCCGTCTCGCCCCGCCGGTAGTAGTCCACCCCGACGAGATCAAACAGGTCCCAGTCCACGGCCTCCCAGGTGCCCGCGGCGTAGGTGACAGGCCCGTGGAAGCGGGTGCGGATTTCGGTCATGAAGGTGCGGAGCGCCGCGTTCAGGAGCGGAGCTTTGGCGAGGACGGGGGGTGGGATTGCGGGGCCACTGTTGGTAGTGGTATCGGTTGTTGTACTGGCATCACCATCGCCCCGACCACCGGCTGTAGCAGCAGCAGTAGCACCATCAGCAGCAGCACCGCCATCAGCAGCAGCAGCAGCAGCAGCAGCAGCCAACTGCCCCCCAAACCATCCCGCCCGCTCCTCGAACGTCTCCCCCGGAAACACCCCGCGACTGAAGATACTGTACTCGCACCCCGCCACGAAGACGAGGTCGGTCAGTCCGTCGTGCACGCGGAGCTGCTCGGCCACCTTCGCGGCGGCACGGAGGTACCGGCTCGTTTCGGGGACGTCGGCGTGCATCTTCCACGGGTTGAAGTAGACGGTTAGCCCTGCGGCGTGGGCGAGGCGGGCGGCGGTCGCGAGGCGGTCGAGGGGCTCGCCTTCGAGGCGGACGGCGGTGGCGTGTAGGGTTTCGGCGATGGTGTGCATGTCGTGGGCGACGTGGGTGGGGTTGAAGGTGGGGATGGAGAGGGTTTGGGGGGTGGTGTTGGTGAAGTTGAGGCCTACGTCGTAGACGATGCCGGGGTGGGGCATTTTGGTGGTGGTGGTGGTGGTGGTGGTTCGAGGGAGGCTTGGAAGGTGAAGAGGTGGGAATGGGTTGGCTAGGAAGTAGGAGAAGTGTAATTGCAAGTGCAAGTGCAGATTTGAAGTGGTTTGCGTGTGCTTCGAGGGAATATATACATGCCCTCTGCATACTCTGTATAGGGTTGAGACCCGGACAGCGCAGTCTTGGCGTTCCGGTCTCCGTCCCCGTGAAATCTCTCTCTCTCTCTCTCCGCCTCCGGCTCGGCTGTCCCCGGCTCAAATTGTCTCTGACACACATTAATAACGGGTGGACTCGTGCTCGAGTACTCATGTCTGACGTCCTCGGTAGTAGCAAGAGGGCAAGAGAGGAAGATCTGGAGCAGGATCACCCCGAGGTGGAGAAGGTGGCTGTATGGTTTTCAGGCCCTCTACCGGGTGGCGAGTGCAGGGCTGGATGCTAACGCTTTCCTAGTGTGATCGATGTCGTCAGCGGAAGGTGAATAGTCTTGAGGATTCACACCTTCACACCTTAGAGTTAAGCACTGATGCGTGTTGGTAGACCAAGTGCGATCGGGTCAACCCCTGTGTGCAGTGCCTCCGAACGGGGTCGGACTGTACATACAACCGGGGACATCAGCTCAGAGAGAAGCGACAACGCGTTCTGATTTCTAGTGTCTAGTAAGTTCCTAACTCTCTCGATAGGGTACAATCATTGACGGACAACAGCGAGCGGAGACTGGAGTACATTGCGAACAAGCTTGATCAGCTTGCAGAGGTCGTTGGTCGACTGAGCCATGAGCACGCCAGCCGTGCAACGCCAGCCGGACTGCGTTTGCCATTGCAGCCCTCCTTTCACCAACCCAGTCAGTCATATTATTCTGCTCCGACACAGGCGGAAGGCATTGAATCCACCCTTTTCGCGAATGTGATCTACACTGCGAAATGCCTCCAAGCGGCAGTGATGAACCCCCGCCTCCCCCATAGCGATGCCTGCGAATTGACTGCCGCGCTGAATAGCCTGTGGGGCACGATAGCTGCACAGAAGCAGCAGAACCAGGCCCTGGAATCCTCGCAGCCATTTGCCAAGGTATTTCCCCAAAGTTTGACCGCAGACTTCAAAGACCTGCCGATTCCCTCCCTAGACCGGATCATGGCATGCTTGAGATTCGCTCACGGTGCGTGCACTTTATCCCCCCCCCCTTTTCAGCGGCAATTGTTCCAAGACTTAAAAAATTGTCAAAGAGTGCTCGCCCAGTCGGCTCTATTGGCCCTTCGAGTTCGGATCCCTCGGCGACTTCACCCAGTACGTGATCCGAGCGTGCTCGCCGGGCCCGATCACCGAGATGGAGCTGGTCATTGTGCACTACGTTCTTGCCTGGCTGTTCACCGAATGCGCGAACCTCACGGGAGGCGACCTCTTGCTCAAGCAGGATTACGAGGTCCAGGCCCTCATCTGCCGACAGAGTCTGGAAACCCTTCTTGGTAGTCTGTCCTTTCATGTAGCCACGAGCTTGGACGCTGTGTGTGCTATGTACATGGCTGTATGTTCGGTCCGCATCCTTGTTTACGGTCCGTTAGGTAATTTGCTAAGTTTCCCAATCTCGCGGTAAACAGACAATTCACTGTCTTCAGCACGGGAAACCTTTTACCGCGTGGTCCTTCATCACCCGGGCTGCACTCATCAGCCAGGCCCTCGGATTACACAGTCCTCATGCCCTTATAGGCCTGGCTGGACTAGAAGAAGTCGAAGAGGATGAAAATGCTGAAAAGCAACGGAAGACACGCCTCTTCTGGGCGGTCTACGTCCTCGAGAAAGCTCTCGCCCTGCGTCTGGGCCGCCCGTCCACGATCCACGACGCCGACATCACACTGCCTAAACTCCGTCTCGACCGCCGGATGGCCTCCCTCCTCCACAACCGGCTGCCGGACTGGATCGAGATGGCCGGTCTGTACGGACGGGCGTACGACGAGATCTGTAGTCCGAAGGCACTGACGCAGACGGCGGATGTGCGGGAGTCGCGGACCCGCGCGGTGGCGCGGGAGTGGGAGGGAGTCATTGCTGCGAGGGGGGAGTTGTATGTAAGTTACCTCCCCCACCAAATCCATCATCTACCTTGGTCTGGTTAGACGAGGCTCTTCAACTGATTTTCATCCTGTCTCGCGGTGAGCAGAAACATCCCCACCAATGGACCAGCCATGTCCTTCCCCGCGGACTGAGTGAGTTCATCGTCCACGCCAACCGCGCAACCGAGTACTCGGTCCTGGCGTCGATCTATCGAGCTCTCCCCTCAGGGAAGGAACCCCAATCTCCAGCGCCTTACTCTTCCGTTAACGATGCAACGAAACCCAATCCGGAATCCCTCGCTGCAGCAAGACTCTCCCTCGCCGAGACAGACGCCTGCATCGCCGCCATGTTCGCCGCCGACGCCGCGACGTGGTCGTCTTCCCCTTCCTTCGATACCTGGGTCACCGAGAACTTGCTGGTTGCGCCGATCATGCCGTTCTTGATTCTGCTCGGCGGGCTCGTGCACTCGCCTTGTGCTGAGGAGTCGGATCTGGATGTCCTAAGGCGGATCGTTGATGGCGTGGGTCGGATGGAGCGGGTGGCCCGGTACGCGCGGTGTCGGAAGTATGGCCGGGTTTTTCGGGCCTTGTATGATGTTGCTGCTGCGTTGGTGGGAGTGAGAGTTAAAGAGAGGATAGATGTGTATAGTGGGGAGATGGGGGTTGGTGTTGGTGAGGGAGGGGAGTTGAGTGGGCTGGGGGATCTGGATGCATTTTTGGATTGGAGTGGGGTTGAATAGGGGTGATTGTATTGTGTCTTCCCCAATGACATAGACACTACGCAGAGACAGGTTCGGAGTTTTCTTTCTTCTTTTTTCTTTCTTTCTTTTTTTGAAGAAGGAGCTATCAACATCTCACTGCCAAATCGCTATCCCCTGGTGGACAAGTACTCTGGTTGAAACCCCTGGGATTAATGTCTTTGATAGTGTTTTGGCTATAGGTACGAGAAAACCCTTGACACGTCTACATCAAACTCGCCATGGAGTTCTAGCTATAGAGACATAAGGAAAAGGTACTAGATGGGATTCCCCCGCGTATCAACCGGCATCTCCCTCCCCGACCCCAAGCGCTTGGATACGCGATGATCCATGGGCCCGAACCTGGCCTCCCGAATCCGGCCAAAATTGCGACTATACCAGTCCACAACCTGCTCATCAGCACAGTAATCCAGCGCATCATTGTCCACCTCCAGATACCCATTCATCATCGCCACGCAGGACCGCAGGTCCTCGCCCCACGCCGAAAAGCCCGTGGCGGATTCCTCCTCAACCGCCGCCCGGACTAAGCTCCCCACCAGCGCTCGCTCCAGCGCGTAGTGCAGGTTACCGTAGCTCTCGTATCGCTGTGCTGCTGGTGCTGGTGCTGGTGCTGCTACCGTCCCACCTGTCTCATGTCGGGGAGCCTCCTGCCACCGCCAACCATCAAAAACATGCGCGAACAAGTTCGGAAACAGGTACAGGTACAGCTGCATGGCCTTGTCGCTTGGATCGTCGTCCCGATAATCGAACACGGCGCACGAGCGATCTACGCGGTGGTAGCCGGCGTTGATCCCGCCCAGCATCTGCTGGGGGTGGGGGTTGCGGTTGGGCACGCTTCGTTTGAACCCGGCCTTCGCTAGGCGGGATTGCGCGGTGGGGTAGTTGGCGGCGTCCCGGACTACGATCATGGGGGCCTACTCACGGATTTCAGAAAGGAGAGGAATGTACGTGGGGGGCCTGTGACGACGGGGGATGGTGGGGCATGGGCATGGGTGTAACTACGTACCCCAACTCCGACGGGAACGCCCAGATACCACATCGCGAGTGCGCTCCAGGGAATCACGGGGATCGGGTGGAGGATCTTGCTCAGGCGCAGGGAGAGGCCGTCGGCGGTGGTCTGGCGTGGGCGTCGGAACATGGTTGTCGTAGATGGTGGGTTCTGTTCTTTGTTGCGGAAAGACTGGGTTTCTTTCTTTTTGATGATACTCGCGAGGTGGGAGAGGATGATACATCGTTGAGGATGTTTGTGTGATGTAGGTTGTGTTATGTATTATTCGGGAGATTTGGGGAATTGGTTGAGGGCTGATTAAGCCGGTGTTTGTCTTGCCACGTCTTCCATGCATGATTTACTGGCCTTTCGATAAATTTACCTCGGATATGACCTGTCTGGGTTCTTAGAGATTTACATGGAAACTACACTTTTACCCTCTTCTTTTCTTTTACTCTCTCCTCTTTTCCATTCCAACTCATATAAGTGAGTATTGGATAATTGGAAAACTTATGGTAATCCTACAAGAGGTGTGTCTATATGTGTTGTACACTCATTGCGTGTTGCATGTAACTGGCATGTATGAGTGCTGTTCAGCTGAAGTAGAAAACCTGCATAGATCAAAACCAGTTCCTCAATCTACTCTGGTGAACCAGAACCCAATGCCAGCCGCACCCACTAAAACCCATACGTCGACCACTTGGCGTCCACTTTATCCTGAATTTCCCGAGGATAGTTCCCCCGGTAAGAGGCCTCCTTATACGTGGGCACCTCGGAGAACTCACTGGCGAACATGCAGCAGCGCACGACCTTCACGTGATTTGCCCCGGTCTTGGCCCCATGCGACACGTACGGGATGAGCCCGATGTTGGGGTACTGGTCGAAGAAGTACTCGTTGTCGCGGGGCTGGCAGCGGGTGGCGTTGGCCCAGATGACGTCGCGCAGGTTGGTGGGGTCGATGTCGTCGCCGACGAGGTAGACGATGGGGATGTAGTAGCCGGGCTTGGAGGCGAAGACGGTGTGGCCGACCTCGCGGCTGAAGGCCTCCATGGTGGAGCGGCGGGCGCGCAGCTGCGCGCGGTCGACCTGCAGCACGAACCAGAGGCAGTGCGACTCGAACGGGTTCCAGGCCATCGTGATGGGCAGCCCGGCCTGCTGGCAGAGGGTCAGCACCTCGGCCGCCTGCGTCAGCCCCCAGACCGTCTCGCTCTCCTCGGGCGCGCGGCCCGTCACGCAGAGGGGCAGGATCGGGTCGCGGCGGTAGGTGATGGCGTCGATCCGGTGCAGCGGACACTCCTTCTGCTCCCCCGGGAAGATCAAGCCCGGGTACTCGGCCATGGGGCCCTCGGGTGCGGTCTCGGTGCGCGAGATGACTCCCTCGAAGACGATCTCCGCGTTCGCCGGCACCAGGAGGTGGTTGGTTTCGGCCCGGGTCACCTCGACGGGCCCGCCGATCAACGCCCCGATGTACTCGCTCTCGTTGACCCCCTTCGGCAGCGGCATCCCGCTCACCATGATCGCCGCGGGCGGTACCCCGAAGCACAGCGCGAAGGGGCAGTCCTTGCCCAGCTCGGCCCACATCTGCCGGATCACCCCGATGTCCTGCCGCGGGATCATCGGCCCCACCAGCGTGCGTTTCCCGTGCAGCATGCTGCGCGTAATCGACCAGTTCACCCACGCCCCGTCGGGGCTCTGCACGATGTACATGCCGAACGTCTGCAGGAACTTGCCACCGTCGTCGGCGTGCAGCATGGGGATGGGCAGCGCGGTGAGGTCGATCTCATCGCCCAGCAGCTTGAACTCCTTGACAGGGCCCGTGGGGACCTCCGTCGGTGGGATCTGAGGCAGGTGTTTGGCGGCCCGGAACTTCTGGATGATCTCCTGTCCGGTGGCGGTGGCCGGCAGCCCCAGCGACTTGGCGATGCGGATGAACCGCTTGCCCGGCTGCTTGCTGGCGCCGACGGGGGCGCCCAGCACGCGGAACAGGCCGTTCGGGTGGCGCCCCTTGAGATTATTGAACAAGGGTGCTTTGTCTTCGGTCTCGTAGACCTTGCGTGTGATGGCTGCCAGCTCCAGGTCCGGGTCAACTTCTTCGTCGATGGCGACCAGGTCGTTCTCGGCTTGGAGGTCTTGGATGAAGCGCCGGAAGCTGGCGCAGGCGGGCTGGGTGGATTCTTGGGGGGTTGTTTCGGCCATTGCGGAGGATGTAGGTGAGTCCAGAGAAGGTGAGTCAGATGAGTGCTGTGAGAGACTTGGTTTGAAAGATTGCGTCTCTTTTATAGGGTTGCGTCGGCGTCAGGTGTCTGGAGTAGATACCTCAGGCCATGGCGGCGGACGGAACATATCTCCCAGCCGGGGATAGCGGGGTAAGGCCGAGCGGCCCGAGCCCCGCTCTCCGCTGACTCATCAGCCCTACTTCGACCAATCTCAATTGTTAAATTGTGCTCTGAGGTCAAGCTATACGCGCCAAGAGGGATTAATATCTTCAATATAGCGCCAGTTGCTGCAAACCTACTGGATCGAGTTAAGCTGTGCCCCTCCTTAACCCCGCAATCTGCTGCCGACTCCCGAGACCACCGCTGATCGTGAGCAATGGAAACGGCGATTGCATCGCGTTCAGGAGAACACCTCCTCTGAATGCTGAACTGGTAAGTAAGTACATAAACCCGGCAACCTACCAAGTCACTCCAGACCTGCCTCGTCAATGTTCTAAGCCTCTCAACCCCAAGCCTCTCATCATCGTCTGCCTCAACCCTCACACATCAAAATGTCCACATCCACCACCCCACCCACAACGACCTTGTCAACCCGCCGCAAACGCATCATCGTCGCCCTCACCGGCGCCACCGGCACCATCCTGGGCATCCACGCGCTCCTGGCCCTGCGGGCCCTCAACGTCGAAACCCACCTGGTCCTCAGCAAATGGGCCGAGAACACCCTGAGGTACGAGACGGACTACACGGTGGCGAACGTGCGCGCGCTCGCCGACTTCGCCTACAGCAACCACGACCTGGCCGCGCCCATCGCCAGCGGCTCCTTCCGCGTCGACGGCATGATCGTCGTCCCCTGCAGCATGAAGACGCTGGCCGCCATCAACGTCGGGTACGGCGAGGACCTGATCGCCCGCGCCGCCGACGTCATGCTCAAGGAGCGCCACCGCCTCGTCCTGGTCACCCGCGAGTGTCCGCTGAGCAGCGTGCACCTCGAGAACATGCTGGGCGTGACGCGCCACGGGGCGATCGTGTTCCCGCCGGTGCCGGCGTTCTACACGCGCCCGGCCGGGTTGGCGGAGGTCGTTGAGCACATTGTTGGGCGGGTGTTGGATCTGTTTGGGTTGGAGGTGGAGGGGTTACCGAGGTGGGAGGGGTTTGTGAAGGATTGATTTTTTTTGGGATTGGGGTTGTGTTTTTGTAGAGGGTTATTTTTGGGTTGGTGGGATAGGAGTTGGGTGGTTGGGTTGCGCGTGGTTGTTTTTCAATGGGGACTCTTTTTGGGGCCTTTGTTTTGAATAGAGGATTTTCATTTCGAAGAATAGATATTCATACAATGACAGTTGATATTGACACTGACGCTTTTCGGAACTGACTTATGCTTCACTTTCTCATAAAACTCTATGTGTTTCTTGTTGAACGAGATAAGAGAACCACTTAATCACATTTTGTTAGTTAAGGTGTTTGATGAGGGAACACCTTTCATTATTGATTATCTCAAGACCGTTTAGGTGGAAATTAAGTACCTAGAGAACATAAATCTTTACTTACGATCATTCTGTATATAACTTCACGTCAGGAGAATTAGATATATATAGCAATTGGCGATGATGACTGTCTGCCCTGAATAATGGTTATAATGGGTCAACCTCGGCATTCTGGCACCCTAACCCGAATTCAGCTCGGTAGTAACACCCCGGGGCTGGGGGATATTCGATTCGCGCCTGGCTTAGTGTGATCATATTCATGAGTTTACGGGGATTGTTTCTGCCACCGCCCAAACCTACCATTGTTTGGACCCAAAATTTCCTGATCGCCCTCGCGAGGTCGGTGAGAGGGGCGGTCTGAAGAAGTTGTGGAGTGCCTGGCCTCCCATTGGCTGGGCAGCTCACCGCCTTCGGCCGGCAGTTAGATAGATATTCAGATAGCTTAAATCTATTTTTCTTTATATTTTTTTTAGATTATAAGCTTTTTTCTTATTTAATATTCTTTTCTTTTAGAATATTAAATCTATTAATATTTTATTAAAAGATTTTATATCTATTAAATCTATATTATTTAAAATATTTTTTCTATTTCTTTTAATTTCTAGGCTTTTATATATATTAAATAGTATTATAGCCAGCTGATTAGTAGCCGGAATATCTCTAATATATACTAAAAATATTAAACTAAAAAACTACTTTGAAAAATAAAAATACTATTATTTAATATTATATATAGTATAAAAAAAAATATAAAGTTTTTTTTAATAAATTATTAGACTTTTTACCGATATTATTAATATTTTTTATAAATAAATAAAAATAGAATATTTAATTATATATTATTAAAATAAGCTTCTACTTTTACTATATAGAAGATTTTATTAATAGAATCTTACTATAATTAGTTTTCAATAAGAAATACTTTAATATATAGAAATAATAGTTAATTTTAATTAATAAATAGCTTATAAACTTAATATTAAAAAATATACTTAAATATTTAAACTAGTTTTCGGAGCTTAAATATACTAATAAGATATTTACTACTATTTATAAAATTATTTATAAAAAAATATATTTAAAAAATAAATTATAATTATTAGTTTTCTAATTATAAAGCTTTTATAGTATATAAAGCTGTCTTAATTTATTAATATATTTTAATATAAATACTCGGACGCCCGGGTTTTTAGTTATAAAATAAATATTTATACTACTACTTTTTTTTATACTATTTAAAAAATAATTTCTTATTATAAATAATAATATATAAAAATAATATTAATAGAAATAATAATAATTTTTATAATAATATTAAGTTTTTTAATTTAAATATTTATTTTAAAAATATTACTAAAAAGTAAGAAATAAACGCCGGTTATATAAATATAGTTCTATAAATATTTAAAAAAAATAATAAATTAAAAAATATAATCTTAGTAAATATATTAAAAAAAATAGAAGAATAATATTATATAGTTATTAAGAAAGCCAGCAGATAGTTAATCTAATAATTAATTTATTTAGACTTAGAAATTATTTCTATATAAAAAAAAGAATAATAAATATATGTTTTATAATAAATATAAATATAGTATTAATTTATACTTCTATTTTTATTTAAATATATATTTTTAAAAATAAAAATTATAGATTTATATATAGTATTATAGATCTTCTACTATAAAAGAAAATCTTACAGCTGCTGTATATTCTTATTATATTAATATATTTATTAGTATAATTATTACTAAGAAATCTAATAAAAAAATTATTTTATTATGTAAATATAAGATTCTAATTCTAAATATATATTAATACCAGACTTTAACCTTTTTATTAAATATAAGATATAAATATCTAAAAAAATATATTAATATATTAACTTCTTTAGCAGCTATAATAAAACTAAAAAATATAAAAAAATTAAGTTATATTTTAATATTAAAAACAGCAAAGCTGTTAAATTAATTATAAAAATAGAATATAATCCTAATATTTTATATAGTTTATTATTAATAAAGAAAATATTTAATAATTATAGTATTATCTAATATATTAAAAATTATAAAATTAAAAATTTTAATACTAATTATATTATTAAATATATATAAAACAGCAAAGTATTTATTATTAAAATATATAATAATAATAAACTATTTAAATATTTTTAACTTACTACTATTAATTTATATTTTTTATATTATTATTTAAGCCACGCAAGCAAGCCGAAATTAATTATTATAATAAAAAATACTAATAATAAAATGTCGATAAACTAGAATTTAAATATAAGATTTATAATATTAGAAAAATATATAAAAAGATATTATAAAAACTAATAATTAAAAAATAAAGTTTATAAAATATTTAAAGTTATAATATTTAATACTTAAAGCCTATAAGATTTAAAAATAAGAAATATTATTTAATTTTTATTAATCTATCTACTAGCTATATAAAGATCTATTTATTAAAAAGTTTTAAAAATAAAGTTAATAATATATTAATTATATTTAATAAGTAATATAAAAATATTATTAGTTAATATATTATAAAATAATATTTTCATAATAGCTGTAAGTTTATAAAGTTTAGAAAGTAGTATAAGTTTTAAAATATTATATACTTTATATTAGTTTTATATTACTACTATTAGAATATTTATATAAAAAAATATAAATAATATATTATATTAATAGCTAGAATTATATTGATTAATACTGGTCTATCAGAATATTTTTAATTAAAAATAATTAGAATAATAGTTTATATTATTAACTGTTTAATTTTACTAGATAAAAAGTTATTACTAATCTTAAGATAATATAAATATTTTAATATTAAATCTAATATTATACTAATTAAGTATTTTTATATATATAACTGTAGAATCTATATTCTAATTAATTTTAATAATTCTTAATATATTAAAAAATATAAATTTAAAATATAAATATAAATCAGCTATTTTATCGGCTATAAAAGTAATTATAGTTATATATTTTAAATCTATAAATCTAAATCAAAAAAAAATTATATACTTTAATAATATTAAGTTTTTTAAATAATATATATATAGTAATAATTATAATAATAATATTAAAAATATTTTTATATATTTTTTTACTAGTTTTTTCTTACTATTAGAAAACTAAGATACTGTTTAATCTAAGCTACTAAAAAATAATAATAACTTAGTACTAATACAGCTAATTATATATAAATAGTAAATAGTTTTATTAAATATTATTAAATTATTAATTTATAAGTAAGTTTAAATTTAGACTCTGTTTTCTTATTATTTTTTAAAATATTTTATATATATAATTATAAAAAAAATTATTATAGATATTTTTTAAGATATATAAAAAAAATAATAATAATAAAATTTGTTTAATTTATAAATAAGAAAGTTATTTTTTAAGTTCTAATAATAGAAGTTTACCTAGAAGTATTATTAATAATATTAAATATTAAAATAACTTTTTTTAAATAAAAAAATCTAGTTAGTTTCTTAAATAAAAATTATTTTTATTTTTATTCTATATTATAAATATCTAATTTTAAGATTTTCAATAAGAACTGTCTCCGCTGCTTTTATATATTAAAAAGAATAAAACTTAATATTATAAATAAAAATTATTCTACTTTTTAAATAATAGATAATTTTATTATATTTATAAATATACTATAATAATCTTAATATTATAAATTATTATTATTAGATATTATTATATATAAAATCTTATTAAATTTTATTATTATAGTATATATACCAGCAACAGCTGATAATATTAATTTCTAGATTTTATTATTTAATCTAATATATATATATCTAAATATTAAAATTAATATATTAATTATTTATATATAATATTTATATATATTTAATCTAAATAATAATTTCTAAAAAATATTTAATAAGTATATAGTAGTCTAAAACTGTTATAACTAATAAGATTTTTATAATAAATATAATTAAAAATATAAAAAAATACTTTAGAATTATATTAAAAAAAATAAGTTTTATAATTTTATAAAATATATTATTATTATACTATTAAAAAATCTGCTACTAGAGCTGCTATATATACTAATAATAGATATAAAATTATATAATATTAATATTTTATTAAAGTTATATTAAATTATAATTTTAAAAATATCTTAGAAATTAAAATAAATAGTAGTTAATATAACTATTAAAACTTTATAATATTTAATATCTACAATTTTTAATCTTTAGATTAATTAGAATATCCAGCTGATATTATATATTATCTAAGAAAATATATAAATAACTAATACTAAGTCTAAATATAAATACTACTTTTATAAAAACTATAGATTCTAGCTGTTATAGATATTAGATTATTTAAATAAAAATATATTATATAAATAGTCTGGTTTTAAGAAAATATTCTAATTATATAATATAATATTTATATATATTAATAAAGTTTTAATTTTAAAGATTTATAGTACTGCTAAAATATTTTTATAATAGTTAAATTAGTTAAAAATAATAAAAACTAAGTATAATAAATAATAAAAAAATATATTTAATTTTATTAACCGGCTATTCAACATTTGTATTTTTTCTAATACATAAATATATACTATAAAAACTAATAATAATAGCTAAATATAATATTTTAAAATATATTAGATAAGATATAGAAATTATTAATGATCCGGTTTTAATTTTAAGAATAATTATATTCTAATTTTAAATAATATTATTTTAAAACTTATAATTACTGTTATTATATTTTTACAATTATAATATATTTAATATAATATTATTATAGTATATTTTAATACTAAGTTTTAAAAATAATCTATATATATATACTAATCAACAGGCTTCTGTAAATCATCCGGTAAGATTTAGTATTTAAAAAAAATATTATACTGTCTTAAATAAACAGTATTTCTTTAAAACAAAATAGTTAATAAAATAATTTATATATTTAATTTTAAATTATTAAAATAAAATATTTATATTTATATTTATAAAAAATAATTTTATTTTTATATATAAATAACTTTCTTCTTGCTGTATTTAATATAGTAGAAATTAAAGCTATATTATATAAACTTAAAAAAAATTATATAATTAAAATATTTTAATAAATTAATATAGTTTCTAAATAATTCTATATATCAAGATTATAATATTAGAATAGTAACTATTAATTAATAAACTTATATTAATAAACTTTTTATAAATTATAATATAATTAATTATTATATAAAAAAGACTTCTATAAACTCCGGATACCAGAATATATTATATAAAAATTTTAATTTTATTAATATAAACTAATATAAGAAGATACTAAAAAAATTAAATTAGTTAGTAATAAGAATATATATTAATATTAAGTATATTATATACCGACTTTAATATTAAATAATCTTTTTATAATTGATTAATAAAAATATTATTAAATATATTTTATATTATTTTAAAAATTCTATATTTAATATTATATACAGCTATAATTATAGTAAATAATTTAAGATCTATATTAATATTTTATATATAGATAATAATAATATAAAATTTATAAAAATCTATATTATTATATATATAAAATCGCCGGTATTATAATTAATATATAAATAAATAGTTTTAGCAATTTTATTTATACTAATTAAATATATAATATTTTATAAAATATTCTGTAAGACTATTTTTTTATATAAATCTATTATAAAACTAGATTTATCTATTAATAAAAAGATAATTATATATATAAACTCTAATAATATAATTAATCTTATATATATACTTATAATTTTAAAGTTAATATAGTAAATTAATATTAGATTATTTTATATAAAAAATATATATTAAAATAGTAAGATAGATTTTTAGTATATTAATATAAAAAATAATCTTATAAATAGTTTTATTAAGCTGCTTTTTGTAGTAGACTTTATATTATTTAAATATTTATTTAAATAGATAATTTAAATATTATTTATATTATTTTATATATTTTAGTAATATTATTATATAAAAAACTAGTTATATTTTTTATAATTACTCTGCTGGTAGTATTTATTAATTTTATTTTATATAACTATCTCGGTATTTTAATACTAAGAACATAGCCTGTTTTTTATTATAGTAATTTTATATAGTTTAAATAGCTTTAGAGTATTTAGGCCTTATAGTAAGCTAAGAAAGTATATAAAATATCTAGTTTTCTATTAGCTGGATAGCTTACCGCTTTCGGCTGGTAATTAGATAGGTGTCTAGATAGCTTAAATCCATCTTTCTTTATACTCTCCTCAGAAGTAATAGTTTAAAGATGTGTATTTGTGTATGCTATATAATATAGCTAGCGGATATATAGTCTCTCTAAGGTGAAAGCTCACACTTCTTTCTTGCCTCGACACAGAGAGCCTCTTCTTCACTCGGCGTTGCGGAGACACAGCGGCGATCCAGATAAAAGACAAGCGACTTAGACTTATCCAGAAGGGAAACAAAAGAAGAGGGCGAGGGGGGAAAAGGATCAATATTCCGGCAAACCAAGCGAAAAGCGCCACCCGGGAGCGGCGTTAGAAGACCAGACACCATGAGCCCCGCCTTGTGATCCAGGCGCTCACGCCGGAAAGCGCCGAGCTGCGCCTTCTCGAGCCACATCTTTCTGATCTCGGCACAGCGTGACTGGTCCTTTCGATCGAGGATGGCCTGCATGGCGCTGGGATAGCCAAAGTTGGCGGCCGCCTCCATCCCACTCCAGAGGGTGCGGTCTGCGCTTCTCGGCTGGGCGAACTGCTCCTCCCTCGCGATTATCGCCACGGCCACCTCTGGCTGCCCCGCCGCCAGGGCCGTGACAAAGGACAGGCGCCAGGCCAAGGGGGGATTCAAATCCAGAAACACCCCGATAATCCCCAGAGGAGCCGGCACGCAGTCCATGATCCAATGCAGGCGCTGGGAATTGTTCAGCGCCGCCGGATCTAACCCATTCCCATACTTGGACGAATACCGAAACCCATGTTCCGGCCACAGAGACAAAGATAACCCCGTTTCATCGAACATGCACGGGCGCAACAGGAAGTCCTCATTGTCCGTCAAGGCTTGTCGAACCCATTGTTCGTTGCCCAAGAGACACAAGGGTCGGAAGGAGAAAATGTCCAGATGCTTGCACTTCGCTCCGTGAGAGAGCAGCAGCTCCAGTAATTTCGTATTGAGACTGAGGGGACTAGGTTCAAAAAGCGCACCCAGTGGATCATCATACGTGGACCCTTGGAGAGGTACACCGGCTTCCAGAAGCAAGCGAGTCAACTCATAATTCTGTGCACGGATGGTAGCGTCCACCAGCCTGCTGCGCTCCTCCCCGAAAGGTCGAGCGATTTCTTCATGGTCGTGGTGCAAAAGACTGAGAATAATCTCCTCCCCCTGCGGGAAGCTCTTCTCACCCCAGTCAGCCAGTAAAAAGACCGCCGACGACAGGGGGTCATCGCCACACGTGCGGATAAATTCACGCGCTGCTTGGAACATGTGCTGGGATTTGGCGTCGGATAGTGGGGCAGGGCCCCCTCCAGATTGTGCGCTGGTGTTCTTAGAAGCCATGGTTGAATGGTCGAAAGATGGTTGGTGGATGTTGAAGGCTGGGGAGGGAATCTGGAGATGGACGAGGGTAGATGAATCATTTTCACGAGGAGGCACCCCATATATTTATACATAAATCGATCAGATGATGCGCCCACTATGCCTGGTGGTGTTACTATTCATACACTGCGTTCTCTTTGTCTTGCCTTTGCTGAGAAAGGAAAAAGAGTCGGCGTCGGTCGAGGACATTGTCAGTTCATTGATTTCTGGTTAGATAAAGCAGATGGTTATAACAGACAATAGTCACCGGTAAGTACGCAGAGCCTTATGGTACAAAGAGGTAGGGACGTCCAGAGCCCTCTGTCTACAGAGCCGGTCAGAGATCCACCTCTGCAAAGCATAGATTCTGGGCTTTGTTGGAGAGTACACGGCAACCCATTGAGTCTTTGTGAGTCTGCACTGCCCCAACGCCTCCATGGACAATGGCATTACAGCAGCACCAGAAAGGATTGTGGGTTGATCAGTCCTTTGACCGGCATCAGAAGCCCGGATCGGCGTACACTGTTCGTTGTCTTGTATCCTCTCCACAACAATGCTCGGGCTGTGGTCAAGGTAGATATGATATCGCGGGCCAGAGAGCGGCTGGGGGCAAGAAATCTGAGACGAAGAAGACGTTGAAAGTCAATCAGCCTCGAGAATGCATGGGCTATCATCATGCTGGGCCACCTGGTAGTATAAATGAATGCATCTCTTAGGTACCATTGTCACTGGTCTAGATTGAGTTACAATGGAAAGTATGCATGGTACAGTACAGTACAGAACAGTATAGTACAGACTGGTTACAATACAGGCCACTTACAATACATTCCAGTGGCATTAGTACAGTAGCAGTCGTGAGGTAGATATCAGCACGTTACAGGGTACTCCTGATACTACTAGGGAGGTAAGATACGGATGGATACATACATACCGGTACTACCCCGCTGCCAGCCCGGCTTTTGTCTACCGCTTTAAGATGGAGGCTTCTGCCGCTCGGCGGGGCAATGCACCCGTGACGGACTCCCGCATCCATTCAAACAGGTACTGTAATATTACATCTCCAGGAATCTCCAGGAAGCCTGTGGCTGTCTGTCCACCAGCAGCTTCATCAGCTTCACCGCATAATAGCCGTCTCTGTGCAGGTCCACTGTCAGCATGCTGTGTGACCATAGCGCAAACGGTCATGGCAGAAGAAAGCCAGTATCCATAGCACCACCTCACCCCAGAATGGTAACTGTACGGTACTTCAGAATGATACATATGCCCAGCCCAGTGCGCCTAACCAGCATCACCTCAATCTGCCTCTCATCCCCGCAACTTGAAGTCCTCCTTACAACTCCCCACAAGTCAACCCAGCCCAACCTTCCTATCTCTCTTCTTCCTTCACTCACCATGCGGTATTGGTTTGCCACCCCGGATTTCACCTTTCACAAAAATGGCGCGCTCCAGCTCGGGACAGTGCTGGAGCATCCCTTTGGGCCCTTGAGGATTCTAGCCTGCCAGGGCTATGGACTGCCTGAAGATCTCGACCTGCCTCCCCGGACAAAACTCATCGAGCGGAGTCACCAGCACACGCGATCGGGCACGGCACTCTCGGGTGGAATGAAGGCGTGGATGGCGCTCCTCGATAAGGTGTCCGCTGCGTGTCAAGTGTCTGGAAGTCGAGATATCACCCGCGAGTACGGACCAACAAATCACGAGGTCTGGACCTTCGATCGGCCTCTCAGTGACCAGTGTCTGGAGGCGATCCTGGAGGTGCCGGCAGTCCGGAGCTACATGGCAACTGGATGGCTTCACCATCTCCCAGTTTATGTGGTTACGGGCATACGCATCTCCAGCAACTCGTTCCTCGTCACCGAGGAAGACGGCAGCAGGGTCATGGTCCGTTCTTCCGCCTCTGCGGGCGATCCGACAGGTACCGTCCCGATCACCGCGGGGCTCGAGGCCGACGTGCGATCCGCAAGCACCGCCACCGACACGTATGAGACTGCCCCCGACATTGTTTTTGCCTACCGGGTGGATATCATCCGCAACAAACGCGACGGCATGGTGAGCCAAAAGATGTTTGCTCACAAGGCGACCTTTATGACGGGGACATCCAGCGAGTCGGAGCTTGAGTACCTGGAGGTCGACCCCCAGATCCTCGCGCAGGACATCAGCCGGCGATTGGAGAACGTCCAAGTCCACCCGATTGGGGATGATGAGGCTTGGGTCTCCAGTGGTCTCTGTCTTGGCGATCATTGAATTGGGCTGCTTCAATTACCAGAAACTTTCACAAGTCTGTGGTCCGACGCGAGCAATGCGAACGTGTGGGCCCTTTGTTTTTCCGTGTTTCGGTCGTAGATAAAGAGTATCTCGGGAAAGATAAAGCGCAATCCAGGGCCCCGCGGCTTGGAAATATGATGAAACAGGTTCGTCATACCGCTCTGTTTCTGTAGTGTCTTGAGGGAGCTGGTATTTAATTCCTCTGGGTATCGCTCATGGAGGTATGTAGCGTACGAAAGCAAAAGGGCAGTGATTCCCGCTGCCACCGCCGTAGCGACCGAAGAGCCCGCCCTACGCGTATCGGGAATGTATTCACAAAGCCTCTCTGGAACGTCTTGGCCGATCGCGGTGAGTGATAGGTTCGTGTATGGCTCCTCCAACGGGGGATTCGTGCTGCTGGGGTTCCCATCGGAATCGGCCGAGCGTATCGAGAACACAGTCTTCAGCTTTGCGGGGGTGGTCGCGCCTTGGTAAAGGCCGTCGTTGCCCGCGGCGGCGAGGAAGACTATCTTACCCTTTCTATCACCGAGTACTTTCGTCACGGCATCCTCAATGACTTTGTCCTCGTCGTCGTGTCCCCAAGACATCGAGATGATGCTGCACTCATTGTCGATGGCCGCCCATCTTAAGGCCTGTCGACTGTTAATGACACCATCCTTTGCATACGTACGAACGTGCTCTCAAGGAAGAAAAGGAAGAAACAGACAAAGAAGAGCTCCTGTGCCTACAACATACATACCTTGCTGATCCTATCTGCAGTGCCGGAGGTATTGAGATCTTTTTCCGTCACTTTCGCGACATAAATGTCCGCGAACGGTGTGACTTCTGTCACGAGAGTAGTCATGAGAGTCCCATGCCCGTCTGAGTCGCTCATAAACTGAGGCCCCTCGGAGTCGGTGACAAAATCCTTGTATCCCTTGATCTGGGCTTGTCGCTTCTCATGGCCCTGAAAGTATTCCGTCGCGAGCTTGCATCCCGTATCTAGTATCGCCACACGGGTGGGTCTCAGTCCACTGTTTCGAAGCTCAACACTCATGCCTCGTAGTTTGCTCATCCACTCCTGGGACTTCCCAACACCTCCAAGATGAAACGAAGCGGAGGTCTGAGAGCCTAGAGGTGGCTTGTCGGCAGAGTTAGGGCTGTTGAAAGTCGGGCTGTCGGCAGGCGGCGGTGGTTCCGAACGATCTTTTCTCTCACAGTGGTTGCTGCCCTTGTAATTGCTGGGCAGCGAACTCGCCAGCCACTCCAGCGGCCTCGCAACCCTTTTTCCCAGAATCTTCCGTCTCTCCACAATGTCCATGGTGGTGTGAAACTTGAAGATACCCCCTCAAACACACGCATCAATGGCCTGGTTCAGGACAAACTTGCCCGTGTACCCTGTCCAGCTGTCGTCTTGGAATTCGTCGAAGAGCTTCGAGGTGGTGCGGAAGGTTTTGTTCATATCGCGAACAAAGCCCGTTGCATCTTGTTGGAGCTGGGGCGTCTGAATCGACCTTCCCAGACAAATCTCCAGGAGCAGAACCCCCAGTGAAAAAATCCGGGGACATCGGTGAATCAGGTCCCTGGTCGAAAACTCCTCCAACTCGTGCTCAGTGAGGGTGAAGGGGATTGAGATGAAGGCTTTGCATGGCAGCGGGTCAGCCGGGTTGTCGGAGTTTGGCATAAGCGAGATGGTGGTATCGGACCACCTCGCCAGCATCATCTTCGTCTCATACGACTGCCAGAACCCGCGTGCCACGGCATGACACAACGCAATCTTCTGCGGAATGTCGAGCCTGTATTCTTCAAGAGCGCGCCTTAGGGGGACCCCACTGCCGGGTGCGGCTTCATGGTGCAATGCGCAGGCATAGTCGTACGTGGAGAATCCGCCGTCTTCGAGCTGCAAGAGCAGGCGAGCGTGATTCTCTTCACCCAGCTTCGTACACAAGTTGGTCCCGTCCATCTTCGCAGGCGGAGCCTTTCCGGCCGAGGTAATCTCTTCCTGGGTCGTGGTACACCCAAACTCCTGCCAATACTGCAATGAAGGCGGAGAGATGAGCACATCCAACATGCTCTTCGCACCGTCTGTTCGCTCGGGCCTGCCCAGGTATAGCCTGCCAACGTGCCCCTTCTGCTCAGTCGGGGACCTCTCACAACCCTCGCATCCTGAAAGATCCCAGAGGGCTGACAGAATGCGTGGCATGGCTGTATCCCGTGGTGATCCGTCTTCTTGCGACGCCCCACGATCGCTCATCAGAATTGCTATCTCATCCGGAAGTGTCGTGGACTGGTCGAGCTCCATGATCAAACGCGCGGTAATGATGAGACTCAAAACAAGGAATGTCGGCCCTGTTCTCAGAACCTCGGTGAACCTTGCTTTTTGATCGCTCTGCGGGTGAGAGTTGAAAGCCTCCACAATCCTGCGTAGGTTTTCATCTGGCCGTTCCGCTGCCTCGGGGCAGGCCGGCCACTGATATGGTGTTGATGATTAGCGTTATCGAGCCACATTACTGGGTGTTGCGGAGCTCACCTTAACAATGAGCATCAGCACTTGAAGAAGATCTAGCGCTCGATCCCGAATTCTAGGGTCTGGGTCTGTGTGTCTTCTAACCCGACTGAGATATTCGTGGACATCTAGAAGCTTCTTCGACAGTGCATTGGCCTCCTCGGAAAGCCCGTCATTTTCTCTTCCTACTTCCTCAAAGAGATCACCCGTTTCCTTGCTGAGGGAGACTGCGACCTCTACATGGTCATTCTGGAGTGGCGCATTTAGGTCGTCCGATGGCCGGATCCTCAAAGGTCTGAGCAAACGAGTCAGAAATCTTTCAACCATGGCTCTAAATCTCGCACCCGGCTCAGGGAGCTGGCTCTGGATAGGGATGCTAGGATGACAGAAAAGAAAGGAGAATGTCACTCGGGGGAAATAGAGGGAACGGTTAGGGTCAAGACTGCGGAAAGGGACCTGCGTTTAACAATTTGCAACTGCACCAGCGGGATCGACTACATATACCTCTCTAGGTGATTCTTCAATGTCTTGACAGATAGAGAGAACAACCTTTCACTGGTCAGACATCTCAAGTCACTTGCAGTGACTGTAACTGCAGTCAATTCACAGTAGTTCTGGAGACAAAAGAAATCTTTCTCCCATATCGAAGGCAATCTTCCGAACCTCAAAACCGCCCCCCAGCTTCTGGAGCTCAGATGCCATGCAGTTGTCGATCTGATTCGGTAATCCTACTGCGCCCATTGAGGTTGCTGTCGCGAGTTTGTCTCGCCAATTTTGTTCGCTATGTCAAGTCTAGTCTCAGCTTGATAGTCTTACTCAGGGCCATGTGACAACATGAGAGAAACCGCCTACCTGAGTGTCAGGTGCTCTTGTCTCTCATTGGATGGTAGATATCACTTCTTCGTGAATCTGCAAGGCCATTGATATTGGCCAATCCCTTATCCACCAGGAATTCACCCTCTGGACTGGTCGGCGATGAAGATCCCGCAATAACTCTTCGGATTTCCAGTCAGTGGGATGTCTTGTAAATCCAGCCCCTGTCTCCAATGTTATGCCGTCCTAGATGCCATTGAAGACGGAGATCCTGTTGTGAATCCACCATGTACACCTCCTTGGCTTGGCGGTGTCAGAGAAGCACAGTTCTAGGCTTCATAGTCTGGGTCACTCTTGAGAGATAGTGAATTCATTTGCAATATGTTATGTTCGAGCTATGATTCCGCCAAGAGGACCACGACAGCAGGTTCTACCAATCTTTCTGCTAGAGTGGTGGGTCCCAGTCCCCCGGGCCGTCTGCCCCATAGAGTTTCCAGCAGGGTGGGATGAGTGAAGTCGTGGATATCTTGTTGTCCTAGCTCCGATTCTTGCAATAGTCAAACGCCATGGATGGACACCGCCTCTCTGGGCATAGGGGGTTAAAGGGGGTTGGGGGAAGGAGGATCTGGACTTTGGCCCATCCCAACTCTCAACGCCGGACAGGAGCGACTCTGACAGGTAGTGTGAAGCTGCATTTCCCCCTTTCGGTGGACTTGGGCATCGTATTCGTAGGCAATATGTTTTACTCTTCGTATTTGGCGGATGTGTCTTTGCTTTTTTGGTGACTCCCCCCGTCCCCCCTTTTCAGTTCCCACCGCTCCTGCCTGTCGCTCTGGCAATGTCTCAGGCAGACCCCGATAGTGTGGTCATGCACGTTTCCGGTGCATCTTCTGACGCATTCATCAAGATCGAGAAAATAGTTGACAGAAGCACTGGACAATCTTTCATGGAATGACCAGAAGAGGGGCTCAGACCCACTGTAACTGTGTGTGCACTGCCTATGTCTCTAGTCCTTTTTGAGTTTCTCGCTATCATTCGAGGCTGTGTCAGAAGCACCGGCTGGAATGTTCTGGGGAGTGAACTGAAACCTGCCAAGCCAGTGCATTGACATGGCTCATGGTTACGTCCTGCTTGCAACCTGGCTAGAAATCTTTCTCTGCCTCCCTTGGGCATCTAGTGCGCGCACGGAGTCTTGTCTTGGTTCTCCTTTTTCTCTCATTCTTAGCGCCGCTCCATTCACACCGACCAGTGTTGCTAGTAATCCCCGGCTCATCCTTCCTCTTGTCGGTCATAGCCCTTTGTGAGGGATATTCGCTTGGAATTCTGGCCAGGTAAGTGATAAGTTTGTTTGGGGAGACGGGAAAGAAAACACATCCTCAGTAGCAAAGAAAAAGCAGCCTAGTACCCTATGACACTCAGCACCAGAGGCATTTGAGATGCTCCCCGGACTATAAATCTCAGGCGCTGCTGGAATGACAGCAGGTCACTGTTGCGTCCTTGGAGTGATTGCGTGACGCCAAATCCTTGCTCTTGCTAACCTCGCTAGTGCAATTAGAACCGGTTCCATATCAGCCTTCCTCCAAGAGATCAGAACCATGCAGGCTAGCCTGCGAGGATGCGGAAGCGATGAAGAAAAGGTTCTTCGTCAGCTCCACATGAAAAGGCGTCCCGAAGCCGCGGGATTCAGACCACCGAAACAATACTCTCAAGAGCCATTCGGGACCAGCTTGATCACAGCCATCCGCAATACATTCAAGCTCTGTCTTGAGCAAGATCACCTCATGCGCGAGACGTGGGCGGTGGTCAGGATGTCGGATTTCAACCTCTGGGTTGATGGATGGGGCGCTGCAGCCGCAAGGGAGGAATTGCTTGATGCTAGGCTTCAGGCCCTGCCAGAATCGGATCAAAAGTGTCTAGAGGATAATCTTCACCAGCTCAAGGATGCTCTTAGTCAAGGGCTCTTCGTGGAGAGAAGCGAAAAATCAATGAGGAAGGTCGATTTCCTCGTCTCCCAGTTGGCCAAGGACGCCGTGGCCATCAGACGGAGAGAAGCACAACCACGGATCCAAAAAGCAGATCAGACCTTCGACCCTCGGAGACAGCAGTCACTGCGGGATTACTTCAAGTGCATGATGCTTCTTCTTCGGCCGACCGACAGTGCTGTTTCTGAACCTGAATCCCCACCGACTGTGCCCACGGATTGGGTGTGTGTCATACCGAACGATAATGTGATCAAGCTCAAGATGACACCGCTTCAGGAGCGCCTCATAGAAGCCAACCTCAGGCGCCGTTATCGATTTCTTCGAGCCCAGCGCGAGCCGGACAAATCGGCCAGCTCAACGACTCCGGGGCCAGAATCAACAGCTGGACTCCCAGATAGCATCGCGGCTGATTCTCAAAAGGCGGGTCAGTATCCGAGCCCCCCCAAAGCAGAGGGTGATTTCAAATGTCCTTGTTGCTGCCAACCTTTGCCCGACATTGTGGCTAAGGACACCGAAAAATGGAGGTAAGAATCCGTGTGATATTTATCGCTTCGCTACGCAGATCACTGATTGCTCTATCACACAGACAACATCTTTTGAAAGATATCCAACCGTTCACCTGTATCGCAAAAGGCTGCCCGACTCCAGGTGTTCTGTACAGCACGCGAAGCGACTGGGATCGCCATGTGGAGATGGACCATCGCCGCAACCGATGGATCTGTCCCATCTGCCGCGACATGGGCACCGCAACCGACAACGTGGAGATCTTGCTCGCCCACATGTGGCAGCGTCACCCAGACGCAATTCCCCCGGAGGATGCCGTCCATGTTATTCATGCGGGCGAGATCCCATCGTACGGACTCACGTGTTGTCCTCTCCCTCTCTGCAAAGAGACTGGATCCCTTGACAGCTCCGAACTGGTCAACCACGTCCTGCGACACACCCATGACTTTGCCTTACAGGCACTCCCGTGGCCCCAGCAGACGCAGGATCATGCCCCAGCCCCAGGCCCTCGACCCGGCACATATAACACGAGACTGCTGACAGATCCGGACTACGTCCTGTCGTGGTTGAACGACGTCAGTGAGCAAGGTCCTTCACCTTCCACCCCCCCGGCACTGGACCTCAGGACCTGGGACGAGACTGCCGAGGAACCTGCGCAAGAGTCCAGCGGCGCCCGGGACTACTTCGACCGGAATCCGTACTTTGCAGACGACTCCAGCAGTAGACCCTTTCCTGCGCCCTTGTCCAAGCGCAGCGAACACATATCAGATGGCGAGGAGGCGATTGACCACCAGGTTGAGGGCTGTTAGCCGTCCAGGAACCACCACACGTCAGACCACAGAGCTCATCAGCGATCTACCTCACGGACGGACGCGATGCCTCAAGGTCTAGATTTCGGGACTATTCACTACGTTACAATTCACGTTCAATGTCAGAATGCCAGTTGTTTCCTTCCCATGTTGTATCCTTTATGCTTTTCCACGTTTCCCAATCTCCATGCGCACAGATAATCTAATCTACTCATTTTTGTTCTCGTCAGATAGTCGACCCCCGGAGAGGTAAACACTCCTTAAGTGGCAGACGATGGTAGATAGATCCTTCCGGTTCTCCTCCTACGACGGAATGTCATCTCCACCACAGTAAGTACCCGACGCCCCTATCCAACCCACCCCTTCTTCAACAGGCTCCGAATGACCACCAACCGGCCCACGCGGTCAAAGCCTATGCTGCCTAGGATCTCGAACGTCGAGACCTCAGCCTGCAAGACCCTGGCTAACCAGCCCCGAACCTCCACTGCGAGGAGCGAACCGACCCTGCAGCTGACGATGAGGGCGCGGGCGATGATCTGGGTCACCTCGCCCAAGGAGGCGGCCTGGCATTGCACAGCCTGGAAGTCGCGTGGGCCGCCGTTCGTGGAGGAGTGCTGGTGGTGGTGGTTGGTCGATGATGATGGGACGCGGTGGAAGAAGCCGAACAGGGGCCGCTGCATCCATGCGGGTTTATCCACCCCGCGTGCCAACATGGCCTTGGGGGTATTGATGTCAAAGATCGTCTGGTAGTCAGCCAGCGTCAGAGCTTGGAGACAGCGCCGGCACTGTCATGACGACCACGCCGTCATCGCCATCACTGGCAGCCTCGAGCACAGGACGACAAGGACGGCAGCAGTAGAATCCCAGCAGGGCGAGGAAACTTGCCTGCGTGATCGGGGGCCATGGATCCGCCGTCCAGCAGCCGGTCGCGGATGGCCTGGTGCTGGGCCAGGAAGCCGTCGTCGACCATGGCCCCCAGGTCGAGGCTCATGGCGGCCCACTGCCAGCATCGCGCCGGGCATGGTCGACTCATTCCGCAATTTGGATGACACCAGCGAGCGCCGCAAGTAGGCAATCCTCCAAGCGCTGCGCGCGGAGCTGGCGACACAGCGGTCTCTACAAAAGAGTTGAGCACGGTCATCCTTTTTCATTTCGCACAAGAGGGGAGGGAGTTAGGGCTCGCTTACGCAGCAGCAATCTCTCCCGACGAGTGTCCCTTGACGACATTGCACGGGACATCAAAGGTACGAAGCAGGTTCACCAACGCGACTTGGACTACAGTGCAAAGAACCGAGCTAATGCGAGCGTTGTCCGTTGTCCATCCGAGTCGTCTCTTTTGGCTTTGCCAGTCCCTCTACCCGATGAAACCATTATTGAGCGGCGCTCTTCCAGACCACGGGGAAAGGGGAGTGCTCACCAAGAACAGTCCAGTCGCTGCTGAGAGAGCACAGATACTTCTCCGCCTCCTCCAACCGGCAACGGAAGATAGAGTACGCTGAAGATCAGTGCCCGTTTGCGCCCACTGCGTGCCCTGACCGGTGAACACCGCCGGCGGCACCATCGTCCCCAACTCATGCAGCGCACATCCGAGGGCACGACCGCACACGGTTGCCAGAGGAGCTGACTGAAAAAGAAATGAGGAGATACTGCCGCTAGCTATTAATGCATATGTGTCAGCTAGAAAGTCAACGAATTAGCAGAGGATGATATGCGAGTTGAGGCTGCCGCTCAAGGCGCAGTTCGGTCGCATTCACGTCCCTGACACTATTCACTACAGTACTGGTCAAAATGCCACAGTTGCCATTCTTGTCATCTTGGTGCTTCATTGTTAGTCCAATTATTTCAAATTTTCCTCGTTAGGTGATAGACTCTAGAACATAGATATTCCTGAGTGGGATGTCCCAGCCCCCTTTGTTTTAATCGTATCCCATGCATACCTTGCAAGATCTTAGAGAACCCGTGTCCGAGGGTCCAGGATCTATCTGCGAATCAATTCCTGTCTATCTAGAGTAGTGTAGATAGCGCGTACAGTAGCTGGCCAAGATGCATGGGATCGGGCTTCCACCCTTGCTTTCTCTTCTGTTCGCGTGTGTTCTGAGGACACTTGGTTCAGAATACTATCAGATTCAGCGAGCAAACTATATCCGCCCTGAAAGCTCGGATAACCAGCACATACGACCACAGGGTGTGGAAAACAGGGCTTCCCGTCCGCTCAGCCGTACTTAAGCCACACGCCGGGAGGTTAGTAGTTGGGTGGGTGACCACCAGCGAATCCCTTCTGTTGTATGTTTTTTGCAAGCCCACAGTCATATTGCTCTTCATACCCTCCTTGCCTTCGATCAATGACAGCGGAGAACCACAATATCGCCCACGCCCACTTCCTCTGTCAAGCCAACAACGCTCGTAGCAACGGTGTGACGGCCGTTGTGCGAACACCGGGCCCTCGGAGGTCTACCTCACACCAGAAACTGCCCAAGGGCCACCAAGCTCTGGACTCGCAACTGTGCTTCCCAGTAGAGTTACGGAAACAAGGACAAGAAAAGGCTAAACAGCCAGAGCCGTGAGTCGTGAAATCATATCCCGGTGCAGAAACTCTGTAAGACCTCGGTAGGATTTCAGTTCGCTCGGAGTCTTTGCGCATAGCCAATGCGAGCGAGATGCCTCCTCGTGCGGGTCGAAACATCAGACTAGGTCTGGATTACATCCTGGTGAAGTCGAGGACCCGCGCTAGAAATACACGACTAATCATCTCTCGGCACATGCTCGTGCTCTGAATCCAAAACCACCAAGGGAGCGTAGCAGCACTTCCCCTTCCTCTAACCAGCATTGCTCTGTTTCTCTCAAGAATAAGGATTCAAGTATCTCACTCAACGTTCAACGCCAAGGAGTGAAGCTGGCGATGATCATGACGTTCAAATCCACCCTCCTCATCTCCCTGACGGTCCTATCCTCGAGCGCTCTCACCCTTCCCAACTCCGTCACCCCGCTTCAGCAGACGCTGCTCGACCAGGACCCTCCTCCCTGTGGCGTATCATCCCCCGAGACGCAGATGCAGCAGCAGGATACCACCGCAGTCCACGACAGCCGCCTCGGAATCCACTACGGCCAATGCTACAACCTCATCCACCCGGATCTCGGGCCGATCGTGGACAGCACGTGGGGCGCCTGGGCGCAGCCGTGGCAACTGCTGACCTTCAAGGAAGGCAGCATGGCACGGCGGTTCCAGGTGTGTCGCAACACGGACTGCGAGTCCGGCGGGCCCGTGAGGGAGGACGAGGGGTTCTATCTCCGGGATCTGAGCGGCTCGCCGAAGTCGCAGCGCCATCCCGCCTTCCTGGCCTTTTTGGATCTCGGGGCGCAGAGCCAGCTCTGGCCCTACGCCAACGACAACCTGGGCCGGCTGGCGGTCTTCAAGGGCGCGCCGGCGGGGAACGCCGTCAGGCTCCGCCTGAAGGAGAGCGCCCACGGATTCAACGGGCTGCATGTCAACTCGAATGGCTGGCCCGGGCATAGCTATGTTTTCACCGATCGGCAGCACAGTGGCCTGACCTTGGGGTTTAAACCTGCTTCCTGCTGAAGGCAAAGCCAGACAGCTGAGCATCCATTTGGGGTGAGGAGTGGTGCATCATCACGTCGCAGTCATCGCCGGTGCAGTCAGTCCGCACAGAAAACGGGGAGACAGATCTAAGCAGTCCGCGCACGGCCAATGAGTGATGTTGGGGAGTGATTTTTGCAGCAAAAGCTATCTTGCCCTAGCTGGACTGAAAGAACGTCTATTGTAGGATGCAGTGCACAAGCACGAGGTGTTATTATGAACAACCTTATCAATGAGTGGTGTGCAGTAATCAAAGATAACAGGTAGCATTTACGGGCGATATCGATAGTATAAAAGTGAAATTCAGTACCATTTGCTGTTCTATCAATGAAAGTAGCATCACCTACCAGCAGTCATCACACCACACAAGAGAATTCTGTTTCTTGCACCAAGGTTCTGGTCAGGCTGTTCCATTGTTCAAAATGTGACTCTGTATGGCCATTCTATAGAGGAGGACTAGTTAAAAGATGCACCTTCTTCTTGGTCAGCTCGTAGTTGATGCCTGAAGTACTACCTTTCTAGGTTTAGTGACTCTGCCGATGCCTGAAAAACTACTATATATAGTAGGCGGTCGTTTTAAGACGCTCGGACCAGCCGGGAACGGGGTGCATTTTTTTGTCTAGGCACTGTAACAGGTTCTCACTTCCCCCTCCTCTCGCCGCGTAATCTGCTTTCGCCCAAAGCTTGCTGAATCCTTGCGAGTGGCGAAAATCCAAAGATCCAGTTCAGCTCTCGCTCTCGCTCCAGCTTTTACGGAAGTGGATCCTATCCTCGGGACATGAATTGGTTCTTTTTAGTGGAGTCATAACTCAATGGCGTCTCCAGTATAGGTGCGTTGGGGTTCTGATTAGGTAGTATATACTGCTAAAGACGTATTTTGGGGATCAGTGAACATACATCGCATTAGACACATACACTCTAGCCGTCAGGGCAGGGAAGCCTTGAGCGAAGGGGGAGCACAACGAGCTCTTTCCTAACGGCTTGCCACGTCTCACCATCGATGCATCAATCAAAGTAGATATGTTTGGCTTGAGTACGCTGTACCATGCCATTGGAGGCACTTGACTCCACCGCCAACGTCCCGTGATGGTCTAGTGGCGTGTTGGCATGATACTCTATGTACTGTAATCGTCTGTCAAAGGAGTCTGGTCTTCATTCTATTCTTATCAACGAGTACTGCACCAGGTATACAGCCCTCGCTATCCTGCAGGTCCTCGAACACGATTTAATAGGCATGAATCTCAAGGCTTCATCATCCGATTGCTGAAGAAGACTCAAACAACCGTGATATGTTCAACCAACCCTTTGCCCCGACAAATGCACGAACACGAAACATCAAACCCCATAAGACCTCACCCTCAACGACCCCGCCGTGCCCCCAATCCTGGCCCCGACACACCTGCCCGGATGCCAGACGGCAAACAACAAGACCACGGCGGCGATAGGCGCGAACTCCAAGCAAGCAAAGTAGACCTCATGGGTCGCCAGCGTGGCGCCCAGCCCCTGCGCCGTCTCCGCCAACCGGAAGATGGTGCGCAGATACACCAGCAGCGTGGCCAGCCCAAACATCCCACAGAACACGCCATACCGGGGCAACGGCCCCTCCCCCTTCCGCGCGGCCGTCCAAATCAGCCCCCTCGCGCGGACCAGAAACCCCGCCGCCACGGCAATGAACACCGTCATCGCGAAGACCTGGTACGCCAGCCCGCCCAGCAGGATATGGTTGGCGACGGAGGGGTCCTGGCGCCGCGACTCGCGCACGCCGACCAGCACGGCACCGGCGATCTGCACGACGGTCGAGACGACGTCGGAGGCGATGAAGAACCACAGGATCACCCGCGGCGGGAGGAGGGCGTGCTGCCGGCCGAGGAGCCGGATCAGCCCGGACAGGATGGTGTAGATCCCCGCCGCCAGGAACACGGGCGCCGTGACGATGAAGAAGTAGTTGAGCACGAAGTAGATCAGGTTGTACGGGTCCTGGCGCGCGGACAGCGCCCGCGCGATGTACCCGACGATCTCGAAGACCAGCCCCACCGAGAAGGGGAGCCACCACCAGCTGCGGTGGCGGATCGTCTGCACGGTGTGCGCGACCAGATGCACGAAGAACCAGGTCGCCGCGAAGGCGGCGAGCGCGAGCGAGGGCGTGTAGCCGTAGATGATGATCGAGGTGTCATTGGGGCCGTTGGGGTTGGGGAAGTTGGGGTCGATGTAGCCGAAGGATCGCGCTTTTTGGGACTCTTAGTTAGGGTTTGGGAAAAAAAAAAAAAAAAAAAAAAAAAAAAAAAAAAAAAAAAAAAAAAAAAAAAAAAAAAAAAAAAAAAAAAAAGGGAGGTACAGTACCTGTGATATGCGGGTGAGAGCGCGCCATGGGTAATCAGCTGGGGGGCGGTATTCGCCTGCGTTCAGTCACTTTGCATGTTCGCGATAAGGGGGCCGGTGAGGGTTGTTATAAGGTGTTTGGGCGGGACTACCGCCAAGCGATCTACTCGTCTCGTGGAGAGACGTGTTCGTGGAGTGTCCTGGTGGGTGGGTATAAATGGCTGCAACAGAATTGGTCATGCCAATGCGCGCCCAGGACCTCGCTTAGACCGGTCCTGGCTTGGCCTGCGTACACGTGCGAATCCAGGTCCAGATCGTCCGCAGCTCACCTGGCTCGATTCCATCGGCAAAGCAACGAAGAGCCAAAGGCTCTCTCGGCTCTTTCAAGGTTCTCGCCCAAAGCTCAGCTCCGCAATCTGTGGGTCTTTATGTTGGCCCTGCGGCTCATCCTCATACAATGTACGGAGTATGTACTCTTAGGGTTGTCCCCATGCGGGGAACGTCAACTGGTCAACAGGTCGCACGAGCCTCAAAAAGCCCTTCCTCCTTCTCTGATGAGCGGACCAGAACATACAGATTATGACAATAAATATCCCCAACATATACATGAGTCCCTGAATCTCCCCCTCTTCTGCTGCCCGCGACATGCGAAAGGGGAGCGGTACGTCATCGAGCGAAGCCAATTCCAAGGTTAGCCAAGCCTGCCAAAACCTGGCTTTCCGAGCGATCGAACAATCCATGCGAAATCCCGATCTCCGCCTGCGCCACCCTCGCTAATCGGAACCAGCGGGGGTTGTTCGGTCCAGAATATCAGTAGAAAGTTGTCCTGTTGATTGTGATTTGTCATTTGTTGTGTTTGACACGTTCAAAACGGACTTTGCTACATTGGCTGTTTTTCCTCGATCGAATCTACCGTGGTCGATTGGCATTCGCAACTCTATATACTTAGAGCATGGGAGTATATTCTCGGCAGTATGTACACCAAGCACTATCAACACGGACGGTTCATACAAACAAGACTGTACTGGACTGCTTCAGCTGGGTGTGGGCGTTTATGTACGAAGCTTTGCAACACCGGGCACACGCTCATCTATTATATACCAAATGATCCCCCGTCAACAGCTCAAGCAGAGACAGCTTCAGCTCCCGTAGCTCCCGCGCGCAGAGGCGCGTACCTTGTCTCTCGTGCAGCGCACACACACCGCCGCACTTCACGCCAGGCAACAACCCCCGTGGCTATCATCATGACCACCAAGAAACCGAGGTAAGCACCCGCCCTGTTTCTGTGATTAGTCCACGGCTTTTGTTTCGATCTGCCTCTGCCGTATCTACCGGAGGGAAGATACGAGATGGCTGGACTCACCGATTCCAATTACTGTCAACAGCAGCAGCGCTTTCGTGACCGTCCGCCGTGTGGGAACCCGCTCCATCGCCCTCAACCTCCGCTGGCGCGGAAGAAGGGACCGCATCATCGACCTCGACACCCGGTCCCGACAGCAAGGTCTGCCCAGGCGCGCAGGCAGCGAGATGGTCTGCCGGGATACGAGTGGAGAGCCGCAACCGTTCCTGGAGGGCCAGCGGGGCTTCGACGAGGGTGAGCACGAGACCCGAGTACGCGTGCCATTCCATGTGGCAGTGGAAGATCCAGACGCCTATTACCAGCCAAAACCACCAAATGAGCTTTTTTTTCTCTTTATTTTTTTCCCCGGGCAAATCAAAGCGGAGCAAGAAGAGCACTACTGACCAGGATTGTTCGATCGGAACCGAAGCACCAAATTCCCCCCGGGATGGACAATGGCCGTGTCGCGCCGGATGGGAACCCTGGGAAAATCCGCCTCGGTCGCTCCGGTGTCCGCGAAACTGCCATTGCCGGCCTCGGAGCGGTAGACCACCTGGAAGTTATGACCGTGCAGGTGGAACGGGTGGCGGCTCATGTGGCCGTTGTTGACTATCAGCTCCACGGTCTGGTTCTCGGCGAGGATGAAGGTGTTGGTGGATTGGTTGTAGGTCGCGGCATCGGTGGAGAGAGCCCCAGCTTCGAGGGCGTGGTATAAGGCCGGGTAGTCGGGCGGGGTGTAGGCAATGTCGTTGAATGTCCAGCTGTTCATGGGGGTTTGGAGGTTGGATAAGTTGGTTTCGTGTGTGGGTTGAGAGCGCTAGGGCGGAGGGCGGAGGGGAGGAGAGGGAACATACTGGCTTTTTCCATCCCCAAGTCGAGCCGTTCCCATATTCAGAGTGATGCTTTGATCTGGTGAGGTGAAGAGTGGTTCCGAATCATACGGTTCCAGCGTAATGTCGTCAATTGCTTGGGAGATGTCGATGTCTGCGGATGGCTCGTCGAGTGGCAGGCGCTGATCGTAGACTAACCACCCGGTAACGGTGACTTGAGGTCGCGAGTGGGCCATCATAATCAAGGTCTTGCAGAAGAAGTTTAGCAACGGACCCCGCATCTACTGTCCACGTGGGGCATACCTTGTCCATAGTCACGGTAATAGCGTAATTGCGACTGGCATTGTCCTTGCCCTCGATCAGAACCCCGTATCGCTGACCCGCAGCGATATAGATGGTCTGTGCTTGTGCGCGCTTCGTGTAGACACCATCCACTTCCACAATCGTCATCTCGTGGTCTTCGATTGAGACATATTGTCCCATGAAGCCACCGACATTCGCAATCCGAACAAGGTATTTCTCGTTTGGTCGAACCGGGATCTGGAGGTTCTGAGTGTCGTTAATCAAGTTCGAGTCCGGTGTAGGATCATGCAGCATAGACTGATGGAGATAGTGTGGCATCATCTCCGGCATCTGCTCGTGATACCAATCCGAGATCGATAATACAATCTCCTCATTGTACTCATCATGGTATGGGGAGACCGCATCATGCACGATCAAGAGACCACGGAGCCCATCTGGGTACTGTGACTCGGCATGGGCATGGTACCAGTACGTTCCTGGCTGGTTGACCTGTTGATTTTACTTAGACGACTGTTTGTTCGCGCCAATGAATACGGAAGCTCGCTCTAACCTGAAACCTATATTGGAAATTGGAACCCGGTTGAATGGCGCACTGGGAGACTTGGGCAGTCCCATCCATGTGCGGGATGCCCTCCATGAAGATGCCGTGAAAGTGTAGAGCCGTGGACTGATTGCCCAGCGAGTTGAGCACATTCACAACTATAGTGTCCCCTAGGTCGGCCTGGATCTGCGGCAGCGGCCAGGCGTGATTGATGCCGATTGTTGGTCGTACTCTGGCACCATCCGGGTTGGCGAGGACCCAGGTAACGTTGAACTCATATTCGACTGTTTTGGAGAGAACAGTAGTGACGATTGTCAGTAGGCCGAGAAGGCGTGCCGGAGACAGCATAGCCTGTTGCATCAGAAGTGGCAATCAGGAGTTCCTTCTTCGCAAAGATGAACTCGCGAACATAAATGCGTGGAGTTGATAGCGATGAATGCCGGCCTGGAAGGTGAAGGGTAAGCATTTAGTATTAACTGCTCTCTGGGGGATCATGCAATCTGTTATCGGCCCCATTCTTTATCCGGACATAAAATTATGCCTTCAGACACAGCCAGACCGGCAACAAACGGCTGTACTCCCGAGGCCTGTGGTCCCGAGGTCCTGCATCCTATCACCGAAGTATGGCATAACGAATGAATAAATCATTCACCCTATGTTAGGGTTGACGTTGAATGGAAGGTTGCAAGATGTCCTCAACTCGGCACGTGATCTTCTGCCTAACCAACAATGCTGATTCAGCAAAGGATAATGATCCCGTGACCACAAATTATTCAAGCAAATGAGGACAAGGAACATCTGCACATGACTGTGAGCTTACCTCTTGCCCAAAAGAAAGTCTTGAGCAAAGGGAGCGGGTATGACATCTGTCAGAATTGAATCATCAAATCTGAATGGGAATACACCGTCCGCGAGAGTTGATTCCTGGCTGAGCGGGTTTGACATCCCCCATAGCGCATCCCAATCTCAATCAAGCCGGTACCTTGGCCCCCAGAAAGCGTCCCACGAGAATCATCATGGTGGCGTTGTAGGCATCTTGAGGCTCACCCGAGCATTCCCCGTCTTGTGAGCAATTGTCATATAGAGAAGTAAAGGAAGGTTTGCGGTTTGCAAAAGACATGGAAAACCCTTACAGAGAACCGAATACCACCAGTTTGGCCGGGAACCAAGCATGGTATCCGTGTTAAGGTGTACGGTAGCTTGCAGGTGTCCATCAGTTCGTGCGCAAGGCGGAGCCAGATATGTGAGCACTCGCCAAGCATCGCTTCGGAGAGAATCGAATAATCAAGTGAAAGAAGAAAGATAAGTTACTTTAGGGCTTCCAGTCTCACGATGTGGTCTTATAGCGGAAATTCACCTGGGCGAGCCCCATCAAATTTCATGTTACGGCGGCGGCACGGAGTATACGCGTTGAGGATCTTCAATCGTCTCCTGCTGGCAAGATTTCATAGTGTATATCCGCGCTTCCGAGCCAAGCCTTGAGTGTCCATTTCTCTCTCTATACCTCTTGTTGATTCAGTGATAAGCTTTTGTGCAGGGTCGGAGATGGCCCTCAAGAGTGATGCCGTCATTCAAGGGTCAATCAATCCTTGGGTTTGAGGGTCATGTGGAGCCCGACCGTCTGTCAGACTCTGAGCAATCACCTGGCTTCTCAGTCGACTAGAAAATCTCCCACAATGATAATGTGAGGTGCAGTCCAGCACTGGGCATACTTGGGTATCTTGACTGACTAATAATTTGTTGTGTTTGCTGTACTCGATTACTGTGGGCTTTGCGGACCGCCCTCCGATTCGTTGGTCATCTTATTTGAAGTTATCTATACTACTACCTTACGAGTAGTTACTAACCTACCTTGAAGGTATAACTCAGTTACTGCCGGGTAAGACTACGTAGATAGTATGGAACTACATGAAACAACCTCGAAATATTCTCAGCACGTACTCGTGAATTTCGTTGTATGGTTATTTCCAGATGGAAAAAGCTGATGATGTTGCCAGTGGCACTCCGCACCACTGAACTACGGAAGACCATTCACGCAAATGCACCCTACCCCACCCCATTCCTATTCAGTCTCATCAAGAACCAGATCAATCCGCACCACCAGGGATTATTGCGGAGTTTCTCCCGAGCATCGCCTGCTGCTGCTCCTGCGCCAAGACAACGCCGAACCGCTCGCGTAACACCTCGACTCTTTCCGCCTCGGTCACGCACGTCTGGACCAGCACGGACTTACCCCCCGTGTTGACCTTGACCTTATCCTGGTCCAGAACCACCTTCCCGTAGATGTGACCGTCGCGGGCGAGGAATCGAATGGCCAAGACGCGCGTGGTGAGAAAGCTGCCCGGAAACTGGCTGGTGTAGAAGTTCATGACCTCGAGGTCGCGCGGGTGGAACTCGAGGTCGGAGAAGGCATAGCACGGTCGCCAGGCCCGATCGGCGCCGTTGCGGATCTGATACGTCCAGAGCTTCTGGTCCGGTCGACTGGAGAGGCCCGGGACGGACTCATACGACAAGCGCAGCTCCTGGATGCCCAGGTTGGGAAGCGTCACGCCTGTCACTGCCAAGGGCACGGGAACGATGGGGCCATCGCCGCCGTAGCCCACGTCCACCAGGTACTGGGCTTGGTCGTCGAGAGTGACGATGTTCACTGCGTGTTCCCTATTGGTCGGGATGATCAGTCAAATGGACACTTCATCCGAGAGAAAGAGGGCGGCGGGGACTCGGGGGCATGAATTACCATCCTGACCACCCTGGTGCGGAAGTGGTTGCGTCTCGGTGGAGACGAGCGCCGGTGAGATGCACCTGGAACCCTAAGAAGCGCAGCACATGACAGAGAAAGAGGTTGTGCTCCATGCAGTAGCCCCCGCGTTCCGCTACGATGAACTTATGGTAGATGTCGGTGACGTCCAACGAGATCCTCGGCGCTTTGCTATAATGCAGCTCCAGGTTCTCAAATGGGATTCGTGATAGGTGATGGGCTTGGATGATGGAGAGGGTTTCGAGGTCTGGTTGGGCGTTTCGCATTAGAAGATCCCGCATAGGCAATCCAATATGAGCGAAGTATTGCTCGACCTGCTCAGGGTTAAGCGCCGAGCTCGAATCCATCATTCCAAAGACAGTTCGTGTAGCAGCAGACTGGAGTCGGGGAGAGTATTTTCGCGCTAGATGCTTGATAGAATACCTAGTTACCCCCCTTTATACTCTTTTTTCTTACAGACATGGCTTTCGAAGCCTTGGGCTCATTTGCTTACTTTGTGATTAGCTTATTCTTCTTTAAGCAGGGCCATCCGAAGACCCCTGACCAAACTTGTTGACCCTTGTGGCCACTCTCATGACCTTGGGCCATTATAGGGCTGAGAAACCCCACTCGGGACGATATGATCCACAGAGTAATGAATTTTTTGTGGGCCAACACACGCCAAGACAGCATCGTAGATTTACACAAGTATCATATAATGATTATATAACGCACAAGTGATGAGGAAACGTCTGGACCCTGCCTGGTGGAGTCTGTGACTCATTGCCATTGCTTACAACGTGCTTATTCATCCTATCCGGTTAACTAGTTATCAGTATTCCTTGATTATTAGTCAGAAAGTCGACTCTGTATGTACTCAGTATTGCCACTTGCCATGATCATTGGGTTAATGAGTGGCTAGTAGCTCATAAATGTGGCCTACTAACTTCGGTTTCCATGTTACAGAAGTACCCAGACATTAACCTCTAAGCCGCAAATGTGTTAACATGCTTAAATTTCTTTAGATTGCTCTTTCACAAGAACGCAGTTGAAGCATGATGCAGGCGATCGACCTGGTGGCAAAAAACGAAAAAAGAAAAAAAGGGAAAGAAAAGGAAAACGACAATCGGATCATACCGAGCTTACCCTCGGACATGAATGAATTGCCATCGGCCTATTTCCCCCTTGGACAACAACTACCACGCGGGATGCTGTTGCCTTCTGATCACAACACCAATTTTTAGTTTGTATCCAAGACAAAGACGCACGCTCTCTCTTGTCCCATTTCTTATGGTTTAGCAACTTCCTGTTCCTCGAATAGTATTTCAAGGGCCATACACCCATAGAGCTGTTCGAATGACTAGTCTACATGAGAAACGAAGATTTTTTGTTCAGGCTGATTGTTCTATCCATCAACACTATCATCAGGTTGTTATTTACATTTTCAAGTCCGTCCACATTGTAAGAACTACTGCGAGGCTTCTTCGCCAAGAGCACAGAGTTTCAAATCCCGCACGGGGATCCTAATGTCTTATTCCGAAAAGCATACTGGCTCCGAGTGCCATAAAACCAAGAATCGATCTTTATCGACCAGTCTATTCCTTGACCACGGCATGCTTCCTGATATTCCGAATTCTTGATCCGTAGATGTAGAACAGGTAGGAGACGAGCGCCAGGACAGCACCGATAGCACCGAGGGTTATCAGGGAATATTGGACGCCATATCGCTCGTAGATGATACTTAGATGATACTGCCGGCGATCATGACGCCTCCCGAGACCAGATACCGGGTAGATGCCATGAAGCCCAAGGCGGAGGCAGAGAACACGCCATACGAGTCAATCACGTAGAGGTAGGCGCTGGTCAAGATGGTGGTCATCCCGAAACCAACCAGAGAGGATGCAATAAGTGAGGACCAGATGCTAACAGAAGACTAACTTGTCGGTGTTAGGTGAGTCAAGGGTCATTGTAGGGAGTATTGTTGAATACAAGGAAACAGGACAAGTGGGCGTTCTTACATAGCTAGTCCACCCCATCCAGAAGAGGCCCACGGAGACAGCGGGGGCGCCACCCAACATCGCATTCTACAAGGGAGGATTCGACCTGTCTGCTCATACTTCTTGCATGTCCAGGAGTAGACAACGGGGACGATCAGATACACTAACACCGTGCTGACGAACATCGCTCTCCAGCCAGCGAGAAAGCGAAACACGAGGTGGCTGGCCACGGTCGGTGCAAGGGCAGCTGCCATGATGAACAGTGGATATAAGGCCAGGGTGACAATGTATACCACATTGCGTCCGAAGGTCTCCGAAAAGGGGCCGGAGAGCAAGGATCCAAACGGGAGGCCTATCATGAACAAGCCTGGTGTATAGAGTTAAAGATCAAGGTGTCAGTCCACGGGTAATGGAATAAGGCCACTTACCGGCGGCCAGGGATCCCACAGCCTCTCGAACCTGTAATTGCGCCGTGTAATACTTCAACCCCAAGCATCGATAGCCGATGCTGCCGTTAAATATATGCCGATCAAGGAGACAGAGGCATTCAGGACCACCTTCATTGTGTAGCTAGAGTTGGCAGGGTTCAAATCGGCATCAAAATCGGACCATTGCACTCCTATGATCGCATCCTCGCTGGAGCCCTTTGGGGTAGAAGGCGTGCGAACAGAATTTTGGCAACTAACCAACTCGCAAATGTAAGCCGTCTTGGTCCCCGTCCAGTCAGAATGAGGTCTCTCACCTGTCGCCGTGCTCACCATAGCAGTTGCATCCTTTTCACATATCCCAAGCTCACGCGCGATTGCACTCTGGATTTTCCTCCACTGGATATATGCCTCCATAGTCAGTCGGTCTCTTTTTCTCTTTCCGAACTTATCCTGGAGACTCGAGTGAATGTTTTCTGTCAAGTTTGTAAGACAGTCCGTTTGAAGCTCAAACCCGAGGTTCTATGAGGCAAGGTCGGACAAGATTTGATCCATTTATACTTGCACCTGCTATCAATTGAACATCGGAGCTGAGATTGAAACTAAAAGGATTTCCAATTACACATTGCTGCGGAACCTGACGGGATTTTTTAAAAATCAAAAGATCTGGATGCGAACCTGCGGCGAAATTGACCAAGTGACTTCACGGGCCTGTGTCGAATTGTCGTAAAAACCAAGGACTTCCCAAGATTGCTTTCGCAAGCTTATCTCGCTTCCTATCGTCACGTGCTCCCAAACGGCTGTATATTTCATCTGCTATATCCTCCAGTGCGTTGTGCGATCTGAGTCCAGGGAAGAATTCGCTCGGAATTGTTGTTGAAGCTTCATAAAAAGGCCATGCGAAGACTACATTGCGAGCAGGACCCCCACCCTCGAAGACAGCGAGAACCCGATAATCGTCAGCCACAATGCCGCCTTCAACAAGGTATTCCTCGCCATACAGGCCTGGATCACGATATGCAAGCCTGGTTGCAACCTCCTTCGCACTGAATACACGTGTCATATGTTCCGCCCACACGGCAATCACCACGATGTTCTCTTCCCGTTCATTTTCCAACTGTTTCTGTCGCTGAAGGGCTCGCTTCCAAGTGCCGAAAGATAGAAATCGTGTGGTAACCCTTCTCCAGGAGTGATGATCATCAAACTCTTGCCATGATGGTGGGCCTTCGTAGTTCGTTCTCCGTGCGCACACGTAGCCTTCTATGTAGCTGCTGTTTCTCCAGCACTCGGCGCGAAAGAGAACCAATGGTTTGGAGTTTTCTGATAATGGCTGAACAGCCATGATGGTTTGCAAGTCACGACGATATCCAACTGCAAAAAAGTATGAGAGATAGTGAGCAGTATGTTGGTGGTGGTTGTATTGCTGGCCACAGAAGAAGGGGTGGAGCCTTGCCTATTGTAAGAAACTGTTTGATGACTGGCACCAACTGCGGGGTATGCTAACAAGAGCAATCTGCGCATTAATAACTTATATATCTAGCTATACTTAATTAAATTGATCCTAAGCATACAGTGTTGGTTATTGGCGCATTTCATATGCAGAAAAGCGGGGTTATGACCACAGTGGTCTGACGTAATTCGCCAGAAGTACGGAAGACCATTGCGGCCACTCGGCAGGAGCGAACGATGCCATCATGATGCCATGTGAAGGAATTAAAGTTACATATGAATCTAGACACCCCAATAGAAAAACAATAGTAGACGACAATGCCTATGAAGAGCCCTATAACAAAGCCTTCAGCTTTTCAAAACTGAAATCGATTCTAACGCAAGAAGAGGCTTTATCATACGCTTATGGAAATACATCGAGGGAGAAGGGGGAGAGGTTTATGGATACTTATCAGGACTCAAAAAGAAGGGTGTTCACCGACACCTCTTGGCCTCATATTTACTGTGTACTCTGAATTTATAGAAAGGGGCTACCTCTTGTTCGGCGGTCACTGCGGTGAGAACACTACTACTTAGTAGGAGAGTTTCTATTTGATGAGTGGCTGCAATGGGCATTCGTACGCAGGTTAGTAGTAGCCGCCATCCTGCAAAAGCAAATTGGTTCCTATTTTTAGCATTTTTCTTGACATTCTACTATTAACAGAATCACGTCATTTCCTACTCCCAAAGACCTTTGTAAATGATTGGCTGTGGAGTAATTTATGCCATCTTCAAAATAGTTAGGTCGATTGGTGATTTTGTATACTCTTATTAGGTTTGATAATCCGCACAACCCGAAATGTCATCCAAATATAATTTGTATCTAAGTTAATACATCCATACATTTATTTTACATGTACTTGGGTCTTCACTACTTTACTCCAACATCAATACGAAGGCTCTAGTCGGAGCCCCGTAGCCACAACGGTGCTAATCATACTGGCGATGCTACCCTGCTTGCGTGGGAAATTGCTTCGGAAGATACTTATCAAAGGACCTGGAGAGGTGCCTAGGGGGGCTTCGCTGTCCAGCTTCCTTGGTGCCTGCCCTTGGTAAGAAAATTGTGTTTGCAGGATGGCGGCTGCTATCCGCTGTACACAAGTGATATCAACCATCGGAACCAATCACCGCCGAATGGCTACACCATGCTATGAACAATGCTTTTCATTGCGCAAAATAGACCACCAAGAAGATGAATATGGTCTGGCAACAAGTATGAGTCTAAAACAAGGAGTTCGGTTGTTGCAAGGACTCCCTCGGTAGCAGTACAAAATCCTCGATTGTGTCCTGAATACGGAACCTGACTAACTGTTATCTTGTATGTAGAGGTCACTTGAGTGAAGCCACTATGACCATTTTGTAATTACAACCCAGATAATCTGCGTCATTGTGAACTGTATCTCGATACGTGGTATCATTCGTATCAGAAACAAACAATCCATGTCAGTCCTGGACCCTCCATGGCCAAAGATAAAGAGCATAGATTAGACTTCCAGGAAGAACAGGTTCCCAAGGATATCTCGGATCCGTCTGTGTCAGCACAGCATAGGGTGACGAAAACGTGGACAGCCACGGATCTTGGTGTTACCATGCTAATCGATGTAACGAGTGATCCCAATAGTAGTGCCGGGTTGTTGCTTTTTGCTGTCGTGTTAGGGTTACACGGGGCGTATGGGGCGTGCCGGGCCTGGTGAGCCGGGCAGTCGGGTTCCCAAGGGTCTTCGTAGCACACAGTGCACATCGTTTGTGCGATTTACATGTTCCTCAGATTCACCCTAGAAAGAATGTACTGTGTGTCAATAGATGATATAAGGTACATGTCTAGGTACCCTTTGGGAGCTGTGATTAGGTTCTTCTGAATCTAGTAGGTAGTTCGTGTTCCGCCGTCCCTTGCTCTAGGTTTGTGCCTAGGTGAAATAGGTTTTATAAGCGAAGAGGTCGCGGACAGGTCAATGCAGCGAACATACATATTCCTGCCTGTTGCCTATGTTGCTAAGATCCATACGAGCTCAGATGATTGATAGGATTGCCCTGCATGGATTGTCACCGGATTCTGCTTTGAGCGGAGCCCCGGTCCAGCCCCCAACACTCTCCGCCAGATTGTGATAGGGCCTGAATGCTTACTATTACGCTCTTTTCTGAAATAGAATCAAAGATATCAGTCCGATGATTGTTTCCGTTGCGATGCCGTCGATGATGTTGATTACGGGAAAGCGAAACCAGTCTCAATGCCATACAAAATGTCTAGAGGGATTTCATTCGGTGCCTCTATCCGAAAAGCAGACTGTTGCAAGAACACAATCTTAGAATCAAGGTATCATTCCTGGAACAAACTTTCTTGGAGCTCTTGTGATGACAATGACTGCATCTGACTCACGTCACGATCTTCCGAGAAGGACTTTGGCAAGGATCCCATCGGGCGCATTATACGAGACCTCGGTTGGCCCTTCTGCTCAGACCTGGAAAGCCCGGACAGGCGCCTAATCCGGGATACATAAGAATAGATTGTCATGCTTTGGTGCAGGTGCAACGAGTCTCCCTCTCCAGCACTCATGTAATATCAACATGTTTTTACAAACCTACATCATCAACATCATAACATTTTTCGGCTTCCAGCCGAGCTTCCCTTTGTTCCGTGGACCATATGAACCAGAATCACCCCAAATCCCAATTGCACCAGGCACTCTATCATTTGTGCCTCCGGGCGCTGCTGAGAATGAGACTGCCCATGGCCCCTTCAAGTGCCATTATCCGGCTATGGCCGTCGAGTACACCTACGATCCCTCGCCTAACAATCGAGGTGTGTGGCTGAAACATCGGACCGATGCTTCTAAGGACTTTACCATCCACACGGACTATGAGGTTAGAGCTCCTATTGGGATTGAGCGCAAAGTAAGTATCTTCTGCCAGCTTCACAACGCAGTACGATGGTAAACAACCCTAGTACTTTCTCACTGTGGGCGAAGATACGAAGCGTCCTGTGAATTGGGATGGCATCGACTTTCCATATGCCAAGCTGTTTGACAAGAGTTTTCCGGGGCCTTGGATACGTGAGTCCCGATGGTTTCTTCGAGATTATCGGTGGAAGCTGACACTGATCTACGGACAGAGGCATGTTGGGGCGATGTAGTGAGTAAGTAACAAAGCCATCAAAGATATTCCCTTCACTTACTGAGCAAAATTGTCTCTAGACATCACTGTTAAGAACAATCTCTCGAAGAACGGGACTGCGATTCATATGCATGGCATTCGACAATTCGGATCTACCCTCATGGACGGCGTCCCTGGAATCACTCAATGCCCCATTGCGCCCGGGGACACCTTCAGCTACGTGTTCAACACGACCCAGTACGGGTCCACCTGGTATCACAGCCATTACAGTCTGCAGTACTCAGATGGCCTGCTGGGTCCGATGACGATTCATGGTCCCACGTCCGCCAACTTTGACAGCGCCCTGGATCCGATCCTCATTTCTGACCACAATTACCGCAGTGCATTTATGGACTACTACCAGGAGCAATTCGCGAATCCTGCCGCTGACCCGCCGCGTGTGCCTCCAAAACAGACCAGTATTCTAATCAATGGGAAGGGTATGTCACTTTCCTCCCTTGAGGCACAGATGAATAACATACTGACATGCCATTGGATCAGGGAGCTATGCCGGATCTTTCCCCAAGAACCGATATCACAAGAAGGTGAAGCCCGGAAAACGATACATCCTGCGGCTAATCAACGCATCCACGGATAGCACCTTCATTTTCAGTATCGATGGCCACAATCTGACGGTCATCGGGAACGACTTGGTTCCAGTTGAACCGTATACAACGAACCACATCTATATTGGGATCGGTAATGCTCACCCCCAGCATGCCCTTGCTAATGAGCTAGTGCATGCCTGGAGAGCCCGCACTAACCGATTCAAACAGGCCAGCGCTACCACGTTGTCCTCGAAACCCTAAGCATGAAGCACATCTCCAGATCCAAAGAGGGCTACTGGATCCGCACCGAGCCCGCGGAGGGATGCCACAACTTCGAGACCTTCCCGGACGACAGACAGGGCATCCTGTGGTACGGGGGTGACGAGGACGATAAACCCCCGGTACCGACTACAACAGCCTGGTCGTACAATTCCACCTGCAGCGACATGCTCGACCTGGTCCCCGTCGTCCCGTGGACCATCGAACCACCGGCTACCAGCCTCACCGCGGTCAAGTACCACAGCAACCATGCCCTCCTGGAGGCGTCGGTCACGATCGACACCTGGTTCCTGCCCGCGGAGGGCAGCGAGGCGGCTGCGACAGTCAACGTGTGGCAGTTCCTGAACGACACCGTCTTTGTGAACTACACCGAGCCCACCGTCAACCACCTCGACCCGCCCTACGACCCCAATGCCGTTATCTACCTGGCCGAGGAGCCGCCAGTGGGCTCTCCCCCGCAGACATCCACCTGGAACTATATGATCTTGATCGGGGGCAACCTGGACAATCCCAGCCCGGTCTCGGGAGGTCGTCTGGTACCTGTTGCTCATCCGGTAAGCTTCCCTTTCCCTGGCCTGTTAAACATCCCCACCGCCCTCTTCCAATCCCAACACATACTTGAAAAACTGATAGCCCACACCCTAACCCCACCCCTCCGCATCTCGGGATCCAGATCCACCTCCACGGCCACGACTTCGCCATCCTCCAATACTCCGAGTTCCCCTACGACGGCCCAGAGTCCCTCGATCTCTCCCTGGACAACCCCCGCCGGCGCGACGCCGTCCTCCTCCCCAGCAACGGGTTCATCGTCATCGCCTTCAAGACCGACAACCCGGGCGTCTGGACCCTGCACTGCCACATCGCGTGGCACGCGTCCGGCGGGCTCGCGCTGCAGGACCTGGAGCTGAAGGAGGTGCTGGCCGCGCAGATCGCGCAGGTCCCGACGACCTTCGCGAAGCGGCAGCTGGATCGGACGTGCGCGAATTGGGAGCGGTGGTATGCGGATCCGGCGAATCATTGGAATCCGAATGGGCGGTTTCAGGATGACTCGGGGATTTGATTCGAGGGGGGTGTTGTGAGGGAAGCGGATGGGGGGTAGGCTCTTAGTGGTGCAGGTAGTACGGAAGGTGTTAGCCTTCAATACATAGGTGTTGTAGTGGGGTTTGATACAAGACGGCATGCCACCTCCCGTCTGACAGAGTTGATGTTTTCCGAGGGGAGTAAGAGGAACCCCATAATTGTTCATCAGTAATAGCAGACTGCGTCCATCTATCAGACGTTGACTCTCCACGAACGGGGGGGATACACGGGTTGATGCCAAATCCGATCCTACAGCGAAGTTGGATATCCCTTCGGTCTCGCCATGATCGGATGGTGGTTGCCAAGCACACAACCACCTGATTGATGACGGTCGATTCCGCCAAGGACGATAGAAACTAAAACCCATTGACCGAGCACTTGTGAAGAATTGTCTGTTGCTAGCAACGCACTACTAGCAAGCTCCACTCAGCTCGATAGTCCCGGGTCCCCATCGAGGCACGACCGACATGATTGGTCCGATCGCATACACTGCCTATCCGGGCAGCGGAGATGAAGCCAAACTTAGGGCTAGCATCTCTTCACCCCATCCCCAACTTCCTTTCCACATCCTATATACATATATAAACAATCGATCCCCGTAAATATCCCCACCCCTCCCATCTAAGATGAGATACACAAAAGAAAATGCAACCCATCAATCTCCAGAAAGGCTCCCCGCACCCCTCCCTCCTCCCCGCCACCCAGCTCCGATCAGCCGCCACAACCGTCCTCTCCAACCCAAGGCTCTACATCCCCGCGCTCGACTACGGCGACGAAGCAGGCTACCGCCCTCTCCGAGCCAACATCGCCACATGGCTGACGGAGTTCTACGCGCCCGCGCGGCCCATCCCCACCGAGCGGATCTGCATCACGGGCGGCGCCTCCCAGAACCTCGCGTGCATCCTGCAGGTCTTCACGGACCCGCGCCATACGGTGGCGGTGTGGCTCCCCGAGCCCACGTATCACTTGGTGTTTACCATGTTCCGGGACGCAGGGCTGGGGGATCGGCTGCGGGCTGTGCCAGAGGATGGGGAGGGGATTCAGGCTGCGGAGCTTGAGCGGGGGATTGCAGATGCCCCGGGTTGTCATTCTTCACTTGGGTGTGCGGCGTGCGGGGATGGTGGGATGGCCAGAAGCGCAGGCGCAGACCAGACCCGCCCGGGCAAGAAATACAAGCATCTGATCTACTGCGTGCCGACCTACGCGAATCCCTCCGGTGCAACCATGTCCGTCCCCCGCCGCGAGGCCCTCGTGCGCTTGGCGCGACGACACGACGCGCTGGTCGTGTGCGACGACGTCTATGACTTCTTGCCTGTCACGCCTGCAGGTCAATCGCCTGCTCCGCGGCTTGTGGACATTGATCGCGCACTGGATGGTGGGGTCGGGTGTGATGGGTTCGGCAATGTGGTGAGCAACGGTTCATTCAGCAAGATCCTCGGCCCCGGGTGTCGGGTGGGTTGGGCGGAGGCTACCCCGAGGTTCGTGGTGGCGCTGGCGCAGTGGTATGTATCCTTTTCCCTGCTCTCCTCTTCTGTGTCAAGCATCGAGTTTGCCCGTTGCGGCCGTGAGCTAAATGCATTATTGTCCCCCTAGTGGATCCAATATCTCCGGCGGTGCACCGTCGCACCTGACGTCAACATACATTGATCAGATGTTTGAGAATGGAAGCTTTCACACTCATCTCAACGGGACCATCTTGCCCGCTGTGTCGAAGAGATACCGGATTCTGGCGAATGCGGTGCGGCAGAGGCTGGTTCCGCTGGGAGTGAGCTTTCAGCCGGATGAAGCGCGCGGGATGGCGACGGGTGGCTTCTTTCTGTGGCTTCGACTGCCTGCTGGGGTGAGTAGTGAGGATATTGACCGCGAAGCGACGAAGCAGGGGCTGGTCATTGGGAAAGGGGGGTTGTTTGCCGTACCGGGACGGAATGCGGGTGGCTCCCGGGAGCGCGTGGATGGTTTCGCCAGATTGTGCTTTATGTGGGAGGACGAGGATCGGTTCGTGGAGGGGGTTGGGAGGTTGGAGATGGTTCTGAGGGGGTTGCTTGCTTCTAGGTGAACTTACTGCACTGTCTCGACGCTCAGCTGTTTGAGGAATGCTCTGACGAGTTTTAACCCTCGATTTGCAAATGGAGAAACCGACTATCAGAAATGATTCATCCTGTTGTCATACACATCCACCTCAATAGCTACAGCTCCCAAGCATCCACCCCAGTATTCCCAGCATGCTGAACCTGTCACCAGACCGAATGCCAAAAGAGAAATCAATCCACCCAAGACACCCCCGCAAAGGCCTCCTCCAGCCCCACCAACCCCTCCACCCCTAGATCCTCCGCACTCAGAACCGCCTCTCCTCCCACCGCAGCGAAAGACCTCCCATCCGTAACCTGAAAGTAATAATGCGACACGTCCATCAACTCCGCCAACCCAGGCCACAACGCCCGATAATCCTCCCTCCCAACCCTCACACACCTTACCTTCACCCCCTTCGCATTCCCAAACGCCTCCACCACCTCCCCCAACCCCCGATACCCCGTGATCGCCGCCACAACCCTCCCCGGCAGCGTCCTGCCCGGCTTCTCCAGAACCGCTTTCACAAACACCCCCACATTAACCCTCTCATCCCCCACCACCGGAATCCTCGTCGCGGGATCGATATTCGTCAACACCAAGAACCCACCCCCACCTTCCGCCCCACGCACCCTCATCGGCCAAAAGCACGGCAGCAGCATGTTGGCACTATACCACCCGACCCAAAGAAAGGTCGTCTTGGCCCACAGCCCCGGCAATTCCCGGGCAATGAACGCGTCCACGCGGCGCTTGCTCTCGTAGTAGGGCACCACGACCTGCCCCGCGGTGTTGGCCGCGGAGTCCGGCAGCGTCGACCAGACGAAGTGCTCCAGCGTCGTCGCTGCGGCGGTGGCCGCCGCGGTGGCGATGTTGATCCCCAGCTGGGTTTCGAGCGCCATGGCGCCGTCGACGCCGTGGGTGGGCAGCGCCTCGAAGAAGTTGGTCACCGCGAAGATGGCGTGGGTGCCGGCGAATGCGGTCGCAAGGGAGGTCGGGTCGTGCAGGTCGGCGGGGATGAGGTGGACGCCTTGCGCGGCGAGGGCCTGCGCGGCGGCGCTGGTGGGGTCGCGGGTGATGGCGCGGATGGTCGTGTAGGGTGACGGGGACGGGGACGGGGTGGAGAGGAGGGCGCGGATGACGGAGCCGCCTTGGGTGCCGGTGGCGCCGATTATGGTGATTGTTTTGGTCATGGTTTGCTGCTCGAGGTAAGGAGTGAGGCTTTGTTGGGATGGACGTGGATGGATGAACGTGGGGACAGTTGGATTAGGGCTGTGCGGGAGGGGGGTTGCTGTGTTGCTCTGTCTGGGGCAATTTGGATAAGGAGCTTGGTTCCTTATATAGTTTCTAGGTTTACATGTAAGTAGATGCGGCATGGTTCTTAGGTGAGGTAATACGAAACTCTATCCTCCGTGTTTGCTCCTTTCTTTGTAGTTGACGTGAAGATTGATGCATTATTAAGCTCTGCGGTGCGGGCTTCCACTGTCGGGTGTGTTGCGGAGGTGGCGGGCAAAAGTGGGGCTCCCGCAGCCCTACCTGGGCGTAAAGAGGTATACTGTGTATACCTAGTACCTGCTCAGCACCACTCAGACAGCGCTTGTTCTACAATCACCCCCGGACACGATCCAGCCCACTCAGTACATCCTCGATCCAGTCCGCACCCCCTTCTTCAAGCCCCGCTCATACGCAACCGCCCGCACCAGATTCATCAGCATAAAATCACACCCGACCGCCCCCTGGATCTCCACCGTGGCCGGGAACTCCTCCTCCACCAGCGACACCCGGCTGTGGTACTTCACCGTCCCCACCGGCACCGCCACCTCGGGGCTCTCGTTCATCACCGACAGGTAGTTCCAGCTGATATACCCCGGGAGCGCCGGGGCGCTGCCCTGCACGGTATAACTGATGTTACTGTCCCGATACCAGGGGATGCCGCCGTTGCCGTTGAAGGGGAAGACCACGATGGCGTCGGAGCAGGTTTCTTCGTTGGCAGACAGGAAGTGTTTGCGGTAGAAGGTTTGGAACTCGGATTGCAGGGCGTGGCCGATCTCGCCTAGGGTGGCGTTTTGCGGGGTGAAGGAGGGGTCGCTGGCCGCGTTGAGGGTGGTGTAGGGGTAGCGGCCGAATTTCGCGAAGTAGTCTTTTTTGAAATCTAAGGAGAAGGTATTCGTTCCCGAGACGTAGGGGATGAGCTGTTTGGGTTGTTGTTTCTCTGGGTTAGCTGCATTGGAGGTAATGAAAGGGGCGTGTAGGGGGGTGCTTATCGTGGCAAAGGTTGTATGTGCTGCGTAGGGAGGACTCGGAACTTACATTCGCAAAGTAATCCACCAAGCTCACGTTACTCCCTGAGTACTCATACCACAGCACATTGCTGTCAACGATGGTACGGTTCACGCCCAGGAATGCTTCCAGGTGCTGGACGTATTCCTCGCACGGCGCCGTGTAGTTCGGGTTGATGTTCGCCCAGTACTCCCGCGGGTAGAGAATCTTCGTGGGGAACCTGGTGTAGTTCCTGTAGCCCGACTGGCCGTACATCACGGCACCGAAGGTGTTGAAGGAGTCCACGTCGCGAGCAAAATGGCCGGCGACGTCGAAGGGTCCGAACGCGGTCGCGGTGTTGTTGGTGCTGTTCTTGGTGGAGCGGATCCCGTACACGCCGTTTTGCGCGGCGGGGAAACGCATCGCTAGCAACAGTATGTGTGAGTTATGGTAAATAGTAAGTAAAGTGGTCTAACTTACAACCGCCTGTATCCTCCCCAATGGTAATGTCCAGCCAGTCGTATGCGGCGAGAGACGCCCCCGAGCCCGCAGAAGAGGCGCCGGGGATGAGGTACGACTCCCCGCGAGGATTCTATCGTGCATAAGCTTGAAGAACAATAGCCCCACCAAATCAAGTAAGGCTTACAAAGGGCAGCGAGTAATCAGGCCACTCAGCGATGCTGAACCATGCATTAGCGAAGACCGACAGCTTGGTTTTGCCGACAACAATGGCGCCCTTATCGAGGAGATGCTGAATAACCCCGGACGTCACATTCGACGAAGGATACGTCGCGGCGTACGAACGACTGCCGAATGTCGTGATAAGGCCCTTCATGTCATACTGATCTTTGACGCCGATGCGGTAGCCTGCAAGCGGCTGCTCGGGCGTAGGCTGGTAGAACAGCCTGGATGGTATGGCGATTTGCATCGCCCCATAAAGGTCGCTACCGCTTGCAGGGAGGACTTCATAGGCGTTGGTGTCGTTGGCAGATGGGATGGTAGGCAGGACAAACGAACTGGTGTGATCCTCATAGAGGCGCCAGGCACGGTGCAAGCCCGAAGATGTCGCAAAATAGGGGCCGTCTGGAAGGGTTGTGTTGTGTTGTGACAAAGCCCAAAATACTTGACTGGTTCCGAGTGACTTGAGCAGGGAGTCTGCGTCGCGATCCAGGGCAAGACCTTCGGGACCCTGGAAGTAGAACGCTAGCAGGCATCAGCAAACGCTTGTGAGCAAGATTGCAAAGCTTTTACCGTCGAAGAACCCCTTGGTGTAAACGTCGTCTCGGACCAAGAAATCAGAAACGGTGCTATTGATCGATGATGCTGTAATTACTGCCTCCCGGGATGTGAAGACAGTCACCGGAAGTGCTTCTCGCACTTTGAATTCATGCACCAACTAAATTGTATGCATTGTTAGATTCATCGATCCCATAGAGAGACTTTGAGATAGTGGACAGGTAGAACACAGACCTCGACCTTTGAGGGAACATAGTATGGCACATCCAAGACATTGACGACACTCGACGCACAGGCGCAAATGGGAAGCGCCGCTAGAAGAAGAGTGGTGGCAACCATTGTACCGATCGTGTTCAGCAGTGTTGAAAGCATCCATGTGCGTGCAGAGTAGTTGTAGCGCGGGCATCCGACTCAACTTATATGCTTCGCGTTCTCAATTCTACTGCCAGGAGAGCTAGAGATAAGGTTAGGCAGTGTCAATCACAGAGAATTCAAGCTTAATCCCATGATGCCTATCATATTACTGATACCGTTTCTTTTACGCAAACCTCACACGTCCTTGACCAACTGGATGTTGGCCTCGATAGCCTCGCCAAGAGTCTTATCCACAAGCTCGTCCGCAGGAAAAATAGGTTGATCAACATGCCAAGAAGATTTAGCGGCGGCATCGCAACATCCGCCTCGATAGATAATTGATGTTCGGCAGTTCTGCGAAGCCGATGAACCGGCAACATTACGATAGCTACTGTTTCCATCGCCCGTCCCCAGCTTCGATGCTATCACTTAATTATAAATCCCATGAAAACCCTAGTCTACGCCAGATTATACGTATCCATCCAAGAGCTCGACAATGTTTGGAAAGGAAATGCTGTACCATATGTCAAGGATTGACGCAATCGCTTGTCGTCCGGCGAAGACATGATCGCAATGGAAAGTTCGGGTGGTCTCAGCATTATAGAACCACTTGGTCTTTAGTGTGCATTGTTTTTGAATTAGGTAGCTCATGGCTGGCATTGGGAGAAGGGCCAATGACTGAAACGCAAGAACGCGCATAGACAAACATACATATCTATCCCCTGGACACAGCCGGAGTATTCGGGCAAAAGAGCACAGCAATTACGCAACTAGCCGCCCCAGACCCTCAAACGCCTCAGCCGCCTCCAGCCCCTGACACGGAACAATCAGCAACTTCTCAAAGCGATCCAGCCGCCGCGGCATCGAAACAAGCCATCGCGCCAGGAACGCTTCGTAGGGCAGCGTCTCTGCATTCTCACCGTGCGAATGCCCTTTACCCTCCTGAAACGCACACTCCCCATTCACGCCCCAAGAAGATACCTTCGCCGACAAAGGCAACTGCCGCAGTGTATGCAGTCCCACGCAGATCCCTTCTCGATACACCGAGTTGACCCCGTAGAGAAAGTAGACCAGGAGAGCGGTGCGTCGGATGCACTCGCCGAGGACCCAAGCATGGCGGGTCCTCGGCCTCTGGAGCTCCGGCTCGGACTGCGCGCGAACGATGATCTTCAGCGCCGCGGTCATGAGCATAGACCCCTGTTGCTCGGCTGCGACCCGCTGCTGCAGGTTGCCATGGAAGAGTCGGAGGGTCTGGTAAAGCAGTAGTGCCTGGAGCCGCGCGAGCTCTATTCGAAGTAGCCTGGAACTAGAGCTCGAACTCGGTTCGGTGGCGGGTTGGAGCAGCTCGGATACTTCAGCGTCGATCACGCGGAATGCCGTCTCCCGGTCTGTCGACTCGGGACTGAGGCAAAAGGAAGAACAGACACCAAAGGCCGTCCGGATTGGTCGTGGCATCTCATCGCGGTACAGGTCGCGGTGGATGAAGATTGTCTCTCCCCGTCGGGCGAATTCCCCCGGGTAGGCTTTGAGCTCATCCATCACCCACTGCCACGAGCGTGTGCTGCCTTGGATGGGTTGGACCTCGCCGAGGGTGCCTACGAATCTTGATGTGGCGGAAAATGAGATAGTCTCCGGCGGCGTGAAGTCCGGTGTACTTGGACCTGGTGTGAAACCCAGTGGAGGCTGGAGCACTGCATCTTGCCCGGATGGATCCAAGATAGTAATTGCAGGTGACTTCAGAAGATCCAGTTCCAAAACGGTACTAGTCGTACGCGTTGCTGGCGAGACGAGCATCTCGTCTGGCACAGTTGGTGGGTCGTCGGTGCGCCCTGGTGGTGGCCTAGGCGGGTATGCATATTGGCAGGTTTTGTTTGTTCTCCTGCAATTTTCGCAGACCGGATATTCCAGATCGCATTTTCTTCGGCCTTTGAAACAGGCATTGCAAGACCTGCGCCGTAACGACATGGTGGTGGTGGGTTGTGGGTGGGGTAGGAAGGGGGCGGAAGTGGCGGATCCGCTGACGAGGATGAGAGAACATAACTCTGCAGCACTGCATGCAGTAAGCACTAAAGCAGCACGTGCCTAACATCAAGCCTTGCAGTCATCTCGATCTGCATATTATACTAGCATATAGGATTCCAGCTTCTGCAGAAACTCGATAGCTGTACCATAGACATAAGCTATATTGCTTATCTTATGTACTTATTATACATATAACCTGGAGAAGTAAAATGGGCTTGTCAGTAGAAGAAAAGGTAGTGTACCGAAGGATAGACAGCCCGTACCATAGTAGCAGATAGAGGATTCAAGGATTGGTTTGGCGATTAGCTGGCTACTTCTTGAT